TCAAAGCCCAGCCATCCACTGCTATATCTTGTGTGGCGGCCAAAAAATTCAAAAATATGAATGATATTGTCAGTAAGGCCATATTTGGGGCTCTGTCTTCGGATCCCAACCACTCCGTGATATTCAGAGACATCAATATCATCATGACTCCTAATAGGTACTGTATTGGTACTAGCCATGTTTTCCGTCGCCCAAACTTTGGTAGAAACAGTGCATCCACTACCGGCGCCCATAGTAGTTTCACACTGAATGGCCAATTTACAAAACTAAATTCTGCCTGGAAAAATATATTGTTAAATTACATTTTTATAGAATTGTTTATGTCAAATCTATACTAACATATGTATAAAGCTGAAGAGTTTGTTTGTTTGCTTGAACACGTTAATCTCAGGAAGTACAATTCGAATTGATGATGATTTTTGTTTTGGCTAGAGCATTTATCGAGGAAGGTTAAAGGCTATAACACATTGTGATGTGACTAATAAAAGCGAAGATACAGTGAGAAATGTGAACAAAATGGGGGAAATTTTTTCATCTCTGTAGGTTTCAGATACGTACGCTGCGAAAACGGTTCAAGATACCTAAAAATTGTGTATGAAAGAATGATTCCCCTTTAAATGTTCTAAAAAAAAGTCCGCGTCACTATATCTAACTTGCAAGGACAATGGGGTTTGCAAAAACTTATTTGGATGCCAAAAATAACGATTTTCGCGGACAAAGTCGCTGGCGCAGCTAGTAAATGATAGAAATGAAATTGATGGTTAATAAACTAAGTTGTAATTTTTTATTACTATTGCATACACGCTAGAAGATAAAAATTTAATCCTCGTTTTATTAATTTAAAAAAATTGTTAAATAACAACTGCATAATTAAAGTATGTATTTGTTAAAAATAACTTATTTAATTATCTTTCTTAAATTTACATTGACTGTATTTTTAGACAGACAAACCAATTACATTTAAATGAAGTACCTACTTGTTGAGTATATGTAATTCCACGATTCTGCAACAACATGGGGACGGCTCCGGCCAGTCCAAGTGGAATACCTTGCAACGCATATAAGAACAATAGCACTGCGATATTCCATTCATCACCTTTTATATTACTTCTTTCATTGCTCAAATTTGTGTCACCGTTCTCGATCAATTGCACTTTTTCAGCAGTTTTCTTTCTATTTGTCACGGACATAATTGAAGAGATAAATGCCTGTGAAATTTAATGTTTCGGATTTGTCAAAGTTTCTGAATGAAAACAAACTAGTCTTGGTGCTATTTCGCACAATACGTATACCTTAATTTTAATATCGGCTGTTACTGAGAAACTTTAGCTCTAGTGTTTGAAGTGCTCCAAAACTAAGTTCAAACTATTGAGACATTCAAACATAAATACGACCACTCACGAAACACCACGTAAGATACTTCGACAGAAACTGCGGAATGGCAATTTAATAAGAATTAATATAAAGTGCAGTTAATCAAAAATTGCTGTTGTAACCAGAATCGAAGAGCAGTTAACTGTTGCATTGCATGTAATTGCAATTTGGGAATGCAATTACATACCTAAAACGTAAAACACGATGGTAAACATAAAATAAAGTCACAGGCACGTCATTTCACAGTGACAGCTGTCATTATCACATCATTTGCACAATTAAACAGCCATATATGACAATTGACATTGCCTAGATGACAGATTGACAGTTACTTTGGCAACACTATACTAATGTCAGTGACAGATGCAAATGCAAATTGTAAACATTTCAAACTGGTACCTATATTTTTAAAATTGTAAAAAGTATCTTCCATACCTGATATTATTTTATAATTACTGTTAAAGTTGGTAAATTAATGAATTACACAATGCTTCTAAAGTAGAAATCAATCATTATTCCTGAAGCAAACATGGTTCGTCAGTGTGTCCTTCGATGTTTACTAGATTCGCATGCGCCCATTTCACTGCCACATAAAGTGGAGACAGTAGTCGGTCGTAGTAAAATCACTAAAATAAAAGATCAGGCGTGCTCCCGCAACCAACGTGAGTAGTGATTGCATGGCTTACATACATACCTTTGAAGAAATAGTTAAACCAACCAATAAGACATAGATTGTAACATTGACATGAAATACTGTCTGGTTTACGCGAGCAGTACACATTTAAATAAAACACTTTAACGGTTTAAATCGCGATATTGCACTTAAAATAATTTTCAAATATGTTTTTAAACCTAGTTTTCCACCGTTAAAATGTTTTATTTAAATTAATACATCATTTTATTCTATTATTCACAAAATTATATACAAGTGGTATACTACACACACACATACAAAAAATTACTTGAAGATTCCTAATGGTATCTTTCTTGTCTTTAGAGGTCATGTTATCAGCGATGAATATTCCATATTTTATCATCATTACAAAAAAAAAATATAACAACTTACTAGAAGTTAGAAGGTCATGTTTGTAATTATCACTTGCAAATAGTTTTTTTTTGTTTTAGTAAGTCTAACTGCCGATTGTGAACTGTGTTTAGTGGAAATTAAGCAATTAGGCATAAATCCATCTGGTTTAGATGGTTTTGCTTTAAAGAAAGACAGTGCCTATAACATAAAACATGGGAGCAAAGTTGAAATATTATTAAATCAGTACTTTCATGTAGTCGAGTTTGACCCTCCACCTGATGATTCTGAAGAACGGAGAACCAGTTTAAAAAGAAAATTAAATGACTCTCAGGATAGTGATTCTAAGAAGAAGCTTCCTAAAACTGAATTAGTCAACATGAGTGTTCAAGAGTGCTCTGAAAACAAATGGGAGGATATTGAAAACGGTGAGGTATACATTTACACAGCGAAAGGTGTAAGATCTAGTCCGAAAATAGCAGCATTCGATATGGACGGTACTTTAATAAAGACAAAGTCGGGGAAAGTACACCCTGTTGATACTAATGATTGGCAGATACTATTCCCTTGTGTTTCACAAAAAGTTGCAGAAAAACACAGTGATGGTTTTAAAATAGTTCTTTTGAGCAATCAGTCCCCCATCGGTAGTGGGCGAGTTAAAATTGAAGAATTCAAGAAGAAGATAGAGGGGGTCGTAGCAAAGTTGAACATTCCTGCCCAAGTATATATTGCGACTGGTAAAGGGTTTTACAGAAAACCATCGACCGGTATGTGGAATGTTTTAGCTGAGCTGGTAAGAATTTTACAAAAAAATATATTTATTGTATTGCATGCTGAAAATTTAAATGATGTGTATAAAATTACAGAAAAATGACGATCTGCCTATAGACATGGATAAAAGCTTTTATGTTGGTGATGCAGCTGGCCGAGCAGCAAATTGGGCTCCAGGAAAAAAGAAGGATCACTCCATGGCAGATATTCTGCTCACTAAAAACTTAGGCCTGACATTCTATACCCCGGAACAGTTCTTCTTGGGCCACTCAATAACAAATGTACCTATGACACTGCCCGAGTTTAATCCAAGAGATGTTAAGTCTACTCCTTTTAATGAGAGGCTGCTAAGTTCAGAGCAGGAGGTGCGTATTATAGTCATCTGTGCCTAGTTTGAAACCATGGATTTGCCCATGAAAATAATTTTTATACTAACATAAAAGCTGAAGAGTTTGTTTGTTTGAACGCTCTCAGGAACTACTGGTTTGTATTGCTATAAAACATCACGGTGCGACTTATAAAAGACGACCGTTGCGTACGCTTCAAAAGATTGTTCAAGGTACCCAAAACATTTGTATGAGAGAATGATTTCCTGTAAATGATCCAAAATATGCGCGGTAATATATGTCTACCTTTTATGATTAACTTGCTAGAACGAAGGGACGCTATATGCTATACTGCGCGGTTTTCGTGCCCTGCGTACATATGAACAAATAATGTGAAAAAAAGAAAATAAATGAATAAATAAAAAACCTACCTTCCAGTAAAAAAAAAAATGTGGAGGAGGTCAGTAGGCAGTAAATTTTGATAACCAAAATAACAATCTACGCGGACGAAGTCGTACCCAGCTAGTGTTTATATAGACTTATAGATTGATTTAAAGGAGGGTAGTTTCCCCCTCCGGTAACCGAACATTCAGGATCTTTTTTCTGAAATAATATTTTATTCACACTAATTATCAGTCATCTGTATAAAATTGAGGCACTATTGGCAAGAACTTTGGGGGGGGGAAAAAAGGGAAAAACATTTAAGTTTTTTTTTTGTTCCAGTTACTCGTGCTAGTGGGCTACCCAGGCAGCGGTAAGTCCTTCATTGCCAAACAAATAGAAGAGAAGTCGCGGCACAAGTACGTCACCGTCTGTCGAGACATCCTCGGCTCCTGGCAAAAATGTTCCGCTGAGGCGATTAAGCTTCTACAGGTGAATTTCATCAAAATCTGTTAAGCTATTCTCGATATCTGCGCATTCATTCTTACAATATTTTTTAATGATAGAGGGGGCATGGGGTTCACTTCATGGTAGGTGATATACCGAAGCCTATAGCATCTAAACAAGATACGCTGTCGACCTGTTTTGGCTTTGGACATTTGGCAATCCACGACGAAAGGATTAAGTTTCACGGCTTTTAGGCTTTCATCTGTGGACGGTGGTTCGTGACCCGGGCGGATTTCGATATTATTACAACCCATTTAGTATCCTGATTACCATCGGAGTCCAATATGATTAAGAAAAATTATGAATTGATTAGAAAAATCTTGGACACGGGGGGGGGGGCGGGGGGATTCCACGATCCGTTGATTATTAGCCGTACTATTACACCAACCAGGCTGTCAAAATACATTTTTCCAGCAAGGGAAGAGTGTTATCGTGGACAGCACTAACCCGGATCTGGAATCTCGCGGTCGCTGGACTTCCCTGGCCAAAGAGAAGGGCTTGCAGTGCAGATGCGCCAAGATGGCGACGAGCAAGGCGCACGCGCAGCACAACAACAAATTCAGGGAGATCATGAAGATCAAGCATGGCATCGTAAACGACATAGTATTTAACACCTACAAGTAAGCTTATATCTTGATTTTATTATTAATTATGTTAAAAAATGAAACTTTTTACACTGGCATGACCGATCTTGATAAATTTTTTGTCAACGAAGCTGTAATTTTATAGTTTTTTCTATGACAATCGAGTCTCCAAAGCCAAGGTCACAGCGCAGCGACATCTTGTGTAGATCTTGTTTCCATCAAGTGTAAGTCATACAAGGGTAGGGTTCAGGTGAAATACCCCAGCCATATAACATCTAAACGAGATGTGCTGTCGACCTTTTGGCCGACCAAATTTATACCATAACTTTTTATTTATTCTAGTGCTTAATTGTAATTATGGTTCTAGGTCGAAGTTCGTGGAACCAACCGTAAAAGAGGGCTTCAAAGAGGTCCTGGAGGTGAAATTCAATCCCGACTTTGAAGATGAACAAGCCGAGAAATTGTATAAAATGTATTTGTTAGAGAAGTGATTATTTATTTTGTGATATTAATTGAGCTGTGAAATAAAACTCCGTTTCTACTTAAACGTTTTATTGCAAACTGGCAAATGACACGTTTGGTTCAGGAAGGACGAAACGAGTGTTTATATTATTTAGCAAATGTACAAGTCGCGAAAAAATACGTATTACAAAGTGTAGGCCGATTACGTCTTACGTAAATAAATACGTCAACTATAAAATTGCTTATCCTTCGGCTAGATTAGCGGGCGAAGATTCGTGTCAAATTTACGCGAAGCATCATGCCGGATTGTGTTGTTCAGTTTGTTTGCGGCCGAAAAGTGGGCGGTAATATAAAATGGAGGAAATAGTGTCTTCGCATTATTTGTTAGTAAATCCGTTATTAAATTCATCCGTTTTTCCGCCTCAAAGTCTGGACCACCCTGAATTGACATGGATGTAACCTAAGCGAATATTGGCGCGACAAATCCCTTTGATTCACGCCGGTTTACCGACAGCTCCCCGATACTACATCGTCATCGCTCAAATACTACACGATGAACAGTTAAACCGGCCACGCTCATCGCTTTCAACAAGAATATTCGCCATAGCCCGCTAATGTAGCCGAAGCATAACATTATTGTAATTATTTGAATTTGGAATCATTGTATAAAGCGAATCTTAATATGAAATACGTTTAAAAGTCGTGTTTTCCAAAATCTGTTGATTTTTACGTAGTTTGAATCAACCTTCTGTGCCCTGACGAACCGAACAACGTCATTTTTTGGGATTCGACACCGAAAACTTAGTTAAAAATCGTGTTTTCCACAATCTGTTGTTTTTTACCTGATTTGTTTTAATTCACTTTTATGTCCTGACGAACCGAAAAACATCATTGTTTGGGATTTCATCCCGAAAACCTTAAACCATTGGACACACGCGATATAAATGCTTAATATACAAATTGAACTGCTATAATTTTAAAACGTAGAGAGTTTTTGTAGATTCAACAATAACAATCAGAATACAACATCGAAGCTAAGGCATTGTTTTAGACATTTAAAATTCACTATCTATATTATACTTACGCACGCAAAAATATCTTTTTGCACCAAATAAGCAAAACTATCACATGTTATTGAGAAATATCTAGACTATTTCACGTCTTACAAGGGACGGATACTAAACACGCCTGTGTGAAATTTTTCGATCAGACGAACTGTGCCCTGTCCGACCGAAACAATTTTTTTTCGGTCGGGCAAGCGCATACAAAATAGGCATCATCATGGAGTATCGAGGCGATCATACTATTATCACATTACATATATGATCATATTAAAACATTGTATCGCTTTTAAAGATATACAGTACGCTTATAAAACTAGACCTAGCTGATCACACTTCTATGCCCTGCCCGACCGAAATTATTATTTCTTCGGGATTCCAATCCAGGCGCTTAACGCAATGCAATGATTAAACCATTTAGCTACAGACGCGGTTAAGTCTTAATTTTAAAATCGTCGACAAAACAAGTCAGTACTAAACACTGTCTTCAGTTTACGCGAGTAGTACACATTTAAATAAAACACCTTGACGGTTTGAAACGTGAATTTTAACTTACTTTATGGGCCGTAGTTAAAATATTTTCCAAATAAGTTTAACTAATATATATATCGCGTTTTAAACCGTTGAGTCTTTTTTAAGTCTTAGTTTAAGCAAAATGTCTACTATCTTAAAATAAGGACCACCCCAACCAAAATATTAAGTTATATTGCTTTCGTAAGTGTAAATGTATCCTCAAGGGAGAGAAGGGGCGAGAATGAGGAGGGAGGGGGGTCGGTGTCATTCGTCAGCTTCCACATCTTCATCGACGTCCAACAGATTGTCCAGACTCGTGTCCGAGTCATCGTCCTGTCATCTGTTTAACGAAAAGATTATTTATTAAGGAACGTCTTATTGGTAAAGGGGGGGTGGAAAGTGTTTGGTTAATTTCCAACTACTTTCCACCCCCCTGTGGGGTATGGGGCGAACACAACTATGTGCGCTTAATAAATATATTTAGACGCAAATGGTGCACGGACTTCTGTGCCCTCTCTGACCGAATCAAATTCTAAGAGCCTTGTGCGTGTATAAGAACTTTTGACGTTAATTTTATTAATTACCAGCTGTGCCCGCAACTTCGTCCTCGTAGAATAGTTATTTTGGGCGTCAAATTTTTTTTCGAAAACTCCGTCATCTTTATAAATTAAACATTTTCCTCGATTTTCTACAATTGCCACTATTTTTTCGCCTCCAATGCCCGCAACATGATGTTTGATAGTCTAAAGTCTCCAATATATGCTCTAACCAACAAAAAAATTACTTTTCAATTTAAACATGTAGTTTTTGATATTTTACCTAGTGATATACACAGTGTCGATGTGGGTCAGTCTTGCCCCTGCCAAGGGCATGGAGGCTGTGACCCTACGCAGCTTTCGACGCTCCAGGGTGCTCCGAGCTTGTTGGACCGCCAGGTCCCCGCACCATCGCTCGCAGCGGGCGTAGATAACCACGCCTGAAGTTGCAGATGAATAAAACATTTTGAACGGTTTCAAACGCATATTACATCGGTTAATAATTATGTAGATTTTTTATGGTACAGGAAGACAGCAATGGCTTTACTTGAGAATAGGTGACCTACCTACCATCAAGCTTGTCTGCGCCATATAACATCTACACAAGATGTGCTGTCGATCTATTTCGGTATTGGATATTCGGAAAACGTATAGGGTTAAAGAGATGAAACTTCCCGGCGTTTTCATCTGTAGACCGCGGTTCGTGATGGCAACATTTCGATATTTCTCCTATCCATTTAGTACCCAGGTTTCCAGACGAAGTCATACATATTTCAGAAAAATTATAAATCGAATCCACGACCAGTTGAGTTCTAGCCATACATAGCTACTATCAGATGCTGATGTAAAACACCTGTGTAATATCTTAACAATTTTGTAGTTCGTTTGTACATAGTCTAGCTTAACTAACACATTCTTTGCTGGTAAAGACTCACCTGCCCCTGCAAATAGTACAATCGCTGGCCAGGAGTCCAGGAGCAAAGGCGTCAACAGCAGAAGCGACAACAGCATCGTAACCGGCCCTTGCAGCTGGTTCAGCCTCTTGACCCCAACGCAGTGAGCCGGCTGCCATACTGATATGATGGTTCCGGATAACCAAACTGGAAATCAAATCAAAAATACAAAGAATAGCGTTTGAAAATTTGAAATAGCAGAAAATTATTACATTAGAAGAATCCACTATACTATCTATACTAATATATAAAGCTGAAGAGTTTGTTTGTTTGTTTGAACGCGCTAATCTCAGGAACGACGGGTCAGAGCATTTATCGAGGAAGGCATCATCATATAAAACGTCACGTGAATAATAGAAGCGAAGATACAGCGGGAAATATGAACAAAACGGGGGAAAATTTTCATCTGCTGCGAAACGGTTCAAGATACCTAAAACTGGGTATGAGAGAATGATTCCCCTTTAAAAGACTAAAAAAGTCTGCAGCGGTATATGTCTATCTTTTAAGCTTAGCTTGCAAGAACGACGGGAAGGCACGCGATCGACGTCGTGGCTAACAGCTTAAGTTTATAAAGATGACGGGGCTTGCAAAAACTAATTTGAATGACCAATATAACGATTCTCGCGGACGAAGTCGCTGGCATAGCTAGTATTAGATAAAACTCTTTACCAACGGATTCATTAAATGAAGTTGTAAAGTAAAACATTTTTAACGGTATACACGCTAAATGTATTAGTTAGCTTAATTTTAATTATTTGTAACTAGGGCCCGACGTTTCGGATGTTTGCAGCAGCTGCGGTCACGGGTTTTTAACCGTTAATTTTTTTTATATTGCATGCCAACTGCTCCGTTATGTTACGCGTTACGGCACCAGTCTTACGATATATATTACTTAAAGTCATCACTTCTCTTGGTTGTTCACTTCAAGCGACCCCAGCAACAGTACCTGGTACTCCGGTGGCGAACAAGGGAACTCTAAATTTTTCGCTGCAAAAGGCAGCCGCTATAATTCCATTAGCGAACAATTGCACTGCAGCACCGACTGCTGCTAACCTGGCGCCTCTCACGCTGGGCGGAGCTGGTGTGCTGGATTCGGGAATAGCTGTTACCACCTAGAAGATAAAGCTTATTTTAGATTGTATAGTTGGATATTTAAGGATATATGAGGCAAGCAAACTGCAATTTTTATGACTTGAATTATTTATGTTTTCATAGTCTAAAAATGTTAATCTACAAGAGCACAGTGACCGAAAATTATTACACAAAATATACTACAAATTCATTTTCGCCCAAGTTAATTGCTCATTTTATTTTCGTCCTTATTGAATATCATTGTTTTCTTATTAGGCCACTCTGGCTCTAGCAGCCTCATATGTACTTGGAATGTTTACACATACAAAATAATGAGCAGAATTTACGATAACGATATAACACGATTGTAATGTTAAAAAAGAATTAATGGTACTCTTTTTTTATGACAGAAACAGACAAGCATATGGTTAGGTTCACACCAGGTAAATGGCATATAAAACGAGTGCGCTGTCTACCTATTTTTATTTTGGGGGGGGGGAAAGGTGGGGGGGGGGGTTTTTTTTTTTTTTTTTTTTTTTTTTTTTTTTTGTTTTTTTTTTTTTTTAAAAAAAAAACCTAAAGGGGGGAAAAACGAAAAAAAAAAAAAAAAATTAAAAAAAAAAAAAATTTAACCCCCGCCCCGGGGGGCGGGGGCTTTGCAGCGGTTAAGTTTAACAAATATATCGCGTTTTAAACCGTTAAAGTGTTTTAATTAAATGTGTACTACTCGCGTAAACTATAGACAGTATCTGACCTTATTTGTTTAAGAATCATTGGACTAAACCTCAAATTTTCTGGTTTCAGAAAATGTATACTTGAAATTGAATTCATTACTTATTAAACCTTATTCAGCTGCCACTTCTAACAAGACCGTCAAACTATGTAAAGAAGGAGTTAGGACTTACTTGTATTCTATCCCTATATTCCTTAACCACAGCATCAATGTCAGTTGAGTCGTCACCGGAAGATAGATCTCCTTCACTAGCTTCAATGTCTGACTGCAGGTCCACGACCTCTGCCTCTGCTAGTCCAGCCAGACGACTTCCACTACCCTGCTCCAATTCTTCGCTTGGACAGCCAGCATACTCGTCAAGGAGGAGGCATTCGCGTTCTTCTGTCTCTATAAATGTTTACTTTGAAAACCTTTGGAGGAACCTGCTCTAACAAAAAAATGTGCGGATGGATTGTGACAAAAACTTTACGATAGATGGAGTGGCGGCGAGTTTCTTGCCAGTTCCTCTTATTCGTTCTACGCCCTTGAGTTTAAAATTTAGAGTTTTTATTCTTTGAATGCATTAACGTTCATATGAATACTTAAATTAATCAATTATTTTTCTAAGTTTCATTTATTATTTTTCACGTGTTATTTTACATGACGCAAAAAAAAGAATCAAAATTAAAATTCTCCAATTTCATCTTCAATCACATCTTAAGCTGCAAAGCACAGGACATTAAACCTTAATCCGAAAGTGTTAAGGTTTACGCGGTAGCTCAATTGTTTAGAGCAGTACGGCACGCTGTGGATAGTTCAAGTCCCACCAGTATCTTTCAAATTTAAATGGATTTCTAATCAAAATGTTGTTTAATGGTATGGCTTACCCTTGTTCACTTTCGACTTGATGCTTTCCAAGGTCTTGGTATGGCGAATCGATGACGGTATAAACCAGAGACTGCGCTTACGCTTCACTCCTGAAGACTTCCGGGCCGTATTGCCGATTCCCAGACGTTTGTATTCTACATCTATAAAAGTAATTTTACGAAAATGCCCTTCTTTTAACCATTTACAACGAGGAATATATCAGTTAAACTTATTTTCAAATTATTATAAACGTCGGTTCGTAGTTAAAAATAATTTCCAAACAAGCTTTCCTAATATATTTCACGTTTAAACTGGTAAAATGTTTTATTTTAAACTACAGACAGTATTTATATACAGTTCATTTTAACTACGGCCCGTCGTTGTAAATGCTTTGCAGCAGTTGTGGTCACGGGGGATTTGAAAATGGATAGTGTCCCTAACGTCAGATCTGCCACGATGGCAGCGTGTTATATTGTAATTAATGTTTCAAAAACAACTTTAATAAATTGCAAATGAGTTTACTAATACATTTCGCGTTTTACGGCAGTAAAAGTGTTTTATTTAGATGTCTACTCCTCGAACTACAGAAAATATTTAAATACATCAAAGACACAAAATCAACTCTTGATCTGACAGGACACAGACGTAGATACGTGTCCCATGCACCACACTGGGAAAGGGGCTTCCCCATTGTTACGTCAAAACAAAGCACTGACATCTGTTGCTAGAGTATTTTAGTATAAGCAGCAACTTACCACCGGCTTCAATCTGCTCTGCGGTGGGAACACATCTCATGATGATGAAGTGAAGAGCTTGGATGGTCACACTGAGCAGGTGGCTGGCGTTCATCAGGGTGATCATGTGTGATAAAGGACACGCAAAGGCGAGTATGGCCGCCAGACTGCCTGGAGAATATGATTTATTAGGTTATTTTTTGATGTCTGTGGTGTCTTTTTATGACATGCAAATAAGATGCGCCGTCGACCTTTGTGGCTTCGGATATTCAGAGATAGTGTACAGTGGTTGTGACCTGGACGAAATTTTAATATTCCTACCGCCCATTCAATATCCAGATTTCCAGACGAAGTCCAACATGTTTTAGAAAAATGTGGGACCACGAGGGGATAGATGATCCGTTTATCTATATAGATTAAAGATCGAGTATAAGTTGGAAAAAAATCGACTCGGGCAGAACTTGAACCGGCATCGTTAGCGGATTATCTTTCTTGTTAAGCACCTGAATATGGGGCGTGGTTAAAATTAATTAGTTGTCTACGTTTTGAACCTTTAATTTTTATCTTATAAGAAATAGAAACGAAATAAATTCATTTTACACTTTATTTTTTAGATACTGCCCACACTCGGTAGTAATTAAATCCTAAAAAGTAAAGCACACAAACGGACAGTACAAATTTAAAAACGTTAAAAATTTATAGTTACGGTTTAGATTAATAATCTGAACAGCGTGAACGTGGTAATGGAGGGGGGGGGGGGGGAGTTCAAAAGTCACCTGCAGTGAAAACAGCCAGTACTGGGCTGCCAGTCGTAGTACTCTCGTAAGTCATGGATCTAGTCAACACCTTCCACTCTGGAGATGCCAAGAGCACCAACACCGTGAATAAGAGCGGGCAGAGCTCCGTCAGAGCCAAGCACACTCCGGCCACGGTCACGGCGGCCAGAACTGGGCAGATCCATCCAGCCACCCTCGCTTCCAGGAGGGTAGTTATCGGTAATGCAGCGTCAATGCTGCTTCTAGGTGACAAGTCTAGTATAAGCTGAGTAAGAACCTCATCTACCAAACTGTGACACACGGTATTGTAGTCTATCAAGTATATACTTATAGTATTAATTAGACTTCGTCCCTCGACGTATTTTGAACATCGTATGTTTTGCAAACCTCCGTTCATATTTTTACAGATTGTACCCGTTACGTCCACTACGTTAAAAGACATATGCCGTCGTGGACATTTTGAATTAGACGTATAAAGAAAAATCATTCTCTCATACATATTTCTTGGGCATTTAATTTAAACCAGTAGTTCCTAAGATTAGCGCGTACAGACAAACTCCTGAACTTAGTTTAGATAGATTCCCCTTATTTTTATCGTTGGCTTATGGCACTTAATAAATTTCTTTCGTCTTTTGGTTTCAGTACCGGGAAAGCACTTTATTTTAGAGGCCAACCGAAACGTGAAAAACGGGTCGTACACATTTAAATAAAACACTTTAACGGTTTAAAACGCAATATATTTGTAAACTATTTGAAAATTAATTTTAACTAATATATCGCGTTTTAAACCGTTAAAGTGTTTTATTTAATTGGTAATCTTACAAAATATTCTTAATTGGTCTACAGCGCAGTAGGTATTTCAATACAGAACTTGAAATATGAAACACAAACATAGAAAAGAATACCCAAAACAAAGTAATGGTGGCTTGATGAACCAAGTCAATGGTGATTTTCATTATATCTATTACATGTTATAAATGTCAAACCTCCCACTTACCCCTTTAACATATTCGTGTAAAGAAAGCACAGGCAAGCAAGAACAACCGCCGGCAGGCCTATTATGAGGAAGATGTTCTTCTTGAAGCTCTCATTGTCAGTTTTCTTCTGTACCGTAAAGAATGTGTACGATATCGGGGCTCCAGCGGCAAAGAGCTGAAATTAGTTAAAAAACAATAAGTTCACTGCAGATGGCAAAGTCCAGTGCTCGGGCTCGGTGGTCCAATTATAACAATGTGGGGCTAATAATCAACAGGTCGTGGGGGTCCAGCATTCTTCTAACATGTTGGGCTGCTGCTGGAAAACTGGATAAGAGATACGTAGTAGGAATATCGAAATACCCACCGGGTAACGATCCACCACCCATAGATAAGAAAAAGCCGTCTGTGTTCGTCTGTCCTGCTCTAGTATAAAAAATAAAGAATGCCTGCTGTTTTGGTAGAGAGGAAACAAACAGACTAAATCAATAAGTGTATGAAGTGTGGACCTACCTCATATACAGTTATCGGGATGGGTATTTTGATATTCGCCATGTCCAAGTTCATCAGACCGAATATGGTGAAGGACTGACTGAAGATGTAGAGGAGCAGCAGTAAGAGAAATGTGAACATCATACTCTCCTGGAAAAGAGAAGAGAATATGATCGTCGGACACGCGCAACAAATCATTACTTTATTTTACTAGCTTCGGCCGCGACTCCATCCACGTAGAATAGTTATTTGGGGCATCAAACAAAACACTTTAACGGTTTAAAACGCGAAATATATTAGTTAAACTATTTATTAATAATTTGTTAATATAACGGCTGCTGCAAAGCATCAAAAATGTCGGGATAAAAACAATTGTAAATAAGATTAAATAGATATCGCGTTTTATAACCGTTAAACTGTTTTGTTTAAATCTGTACTACTCGCGTAAACTAAATTCATAGATATTTGTAACCTCTTTCGTTAGAATCAGCTCAGAAGCTTTGACGGTAGAGTGGAACATAGCTATCCCTCCAAAGTATGGTTAAGTACGACAAAAGCACATTTAAGACGACATACCTCCAGGCCACACATGAACATGGCGCAAACTACCAACACCACGGTGACTCCCAAGACGTCTGGCCAAGGCTCCCCCAGGGATCTTGTCTCGTAACCGAAGAGCCAACGTCTGGTGCGACCGCCGGTGACGTGGTCTGCTGTTGCGCTGAGGATCCTCGCGCACACGGCAACCGCCACCAGGTGGGAGAGAAACCACATCCACATAACCATGAAATCGGCGAAGGATTGCATGTTTCTCTCCCGTCTGCCTCTCCCCGTTTTCGTGGGTGGGAGGACGTCTTCCAGCTTCTTTAGATCTCTTCTTGTGAAAGCTAAAAAATGGAAACTTGCTGTTATTAGTTTGTAAACGAGTGGGAATTATTGAAAACTATAATATTGGTCACACTAGCAAGACTCCCCGGCTTCGCTCGGGTGCAACGATGATACTAAATACTCAATAGAAAAACAGTGAACTTTGTATACACAAACCGTCCTCTCGAGTCACTATATAAATTTAAAAAAAAACCGACATTAAAATCACTTGGACCCGCAATTTCACAGCTTTCCTGCTGTGCTCATAGGGACAAATCCAAAGCGAATTTGTTTCAAACTGATTGAGCTAATTGCTGTCTATAGTTTACGCGAGGAGACTATACAAATTAAATAAAAACTTTAACGTTAAAACGCGACAGGACTAGTGAACCCTCATTTGACAGCGTTTTCTAACTTCGGCCGAGTTGCTCAAGAGCATTTCCAGCAGCCGAAATGTCTCGGCGAAACTTGATTGAGCTCAGTTGTAAATCGCAATAAATTAAAATAAATCACTTTTAACGGTTTGAAACGCGAAATGTGATAATTTATTTTAATTCAATTTAACTAAGGCCCGGCCTTTGAGCTGCTTTGCAGCAGCGTGGTCACGGGGGGAGAGAAGATAATGGTGTCACAAATGTCTAAGTCAAAACTGTTACTCTAGCGACATTTTTAGTATACATATTATAATATCTGCTGAAACATCGAGTCAGAAATTAACGTTTAAAAATAAATATTTATGTGTGTGAAATTCCGATACCCCCTCGCGGGGCATGGGGCGAACACATTTCTGTGTCCGTTTCACTGATTTGTTCTTTAACAGGCGAGTAGTTGATGAGAATTCTGTGCCCTGCCTGACCGAAATAATTGTTTGTTTCCCTGGGATTCGAGCTCAGGACCTCTCGCGCTTAACGCTAAGTAATACCTCTTAACCGTTTGGCTTAATCGTAGTCATATTGGCCAACCTAATCTATACTAACATTATTTATGAACGTTGTAACTAACACAGTTGTATTTTGAATTAAAAGTTTATTAGTATGTCATATTCAATAGTCAATAATAATTTCAAACGGTTTAAAACGGTCATATTAAATGGCAACCCGTGTAGCTGTAGCTTAAATTGCATACTTGCAAACGTGATGAATACAGCAACAAGGATGACAGCTGGAACAGCACAGTAACTGGAGTTTGCTGCTGTCAGGGGCGCCAGGAGCAACGCCCCGAGGGTCCATCTTGCCCCGCAGGCCTCTCCCCCCGCAGAACACTTTGAACCTACTCATCAAGCTATTCTTTTTTTCACTTGTCATGTTTGTAGAACTGTAAATAAAATGTATTCACATCGTGAAATAATCTTACTTTAAATATAACATTTTAACGGTTTAAAACGCGATATACATACGTTGGGTGACGTTCGGGATGCTTTGCAGCAGCCCTGGTCACGGGGAGACTAAAGATATGGTATCTAAAGTTAAATAAATTTCCAAATTAGTTTAACTAATATATATAGTGTTTTAAACCGTTAAAGTAAACTACAGATAGTATTTCATTAACTTACTTATGTCACACAATATAATAATGTTTCTAGTTAAGTTAGTTAACATTGCGTTAAGTCAAAGGTTCGATTTCCGGTCAAAAAGAGACACTTGCGCGTTACAATGATAATAACGAACAGGCTCGATCGTGTAATGGTATCAATGTACGCCTTGTAATCACCGGGTCGTGGGTGCAACATTTTTCTTAAAAATGTATATATTTTTGAAGCATGGACTCTCTTATCTATATATATTAAATAGGGTGGTAATTGCACACAGTCCACAGCTGGAAAAGTTATTAAGTATCGCGTTTAAGTTTCAGTCCGAATATCCTAAGCAATAGGCCAACAGCGCATCTTGTTTAGATGTAAAATGGCTGCGTTCGTCTACCATCACTTCATGTTATGATGATGCAGTACATAAATAATAACTTCTTGACACTACTATTTCAATCCATAACCAAGGCGATATTAGCAGATATTTTGAAAGATTATATTTTGTCTCTCCTATCACAAGCTACAATATACAAACTAAATCTTTTGTTTCTATAATAATAACATAGGTACTTAAATAACATTCTTGTAACTACAAGCCATTAAAAAAAACGCGTTTAACGGTTTAAAACGTGGAATATAATAACTTGTTTGCTGCAAATCATCTGAAGCGGCCGTTGTTAAAATAAATGGTAAATAAGTATTAATTTGTGTTTTAAACTGTTTAAAGAGTTTTAATTAAATGTCTTGTATTTATATTAATAATATTCTATATACTACGGTTGTTAAAACAATATTTAGTTTAAATATTATAGGCGGTGAAAGAACACACTATCATATAACTACAAAACATTAAAAAAAAAACGCTTTTAACGGTTTAAAACGCGTAATATATTAACTAAGCTGCTGCGTGTTGTTAAAATCATAGCAAACAATTAATATTTCGTGTTTTAAACCGTCTAAAGTGGTTTTATTCGAATGTATAATTACGTAAACGGTGCTTAAAGCTTTGCATTTAATACGCAAAAGTTTCTAAGCGTATTCCCTAATGATGCTGAAAACATCAAAGGTGAAAGATGACATAAGAGGTCGTGATGAAAAGTCCACTTACCATGATAACGGGGCTTCAAGAATGGGGTCTATTCAACACTGGTAGACATCAAGAGTGTCCGATTCCTACATTTTTCGAGATATTCGCTGAAAATTCGTTTAAATGGATATAAGTAAGTGTGTTATTGTTGAATTTGTGGCGAACACTAGCGTATAAGGTCGCTTTTTCATGCGGCAAAGAGGAGTGCGGAGGGATATCCCCCTCTCGCTCTCCAATCGATACCTTCGGCTGTTAATCGCATTAAGGGTTTATACAATTTCAACTGAATGAAACCTTCGCTTCGATACGTTTGGGTTATCTATTATAGACGACAGACATTAAAACTAGATGGGCCGTCGACCCATTTCGGCTTGAATATTCGGACTGAAACAGAAACGCGACACTAACGGCTGAGGTTTCGTAACGAACGTCGTTTCTAAGCGAAGTGCAGCGTGTTTAAAAAAATTGTAAGATAGAAATGGTGTTAAAATTACAGTTGTAAAAAAATATATTTTTCTTTAATATTGGATACTAAGTACTTCAAAGTCATTTTTAAAATGTAACTAATATAATGCGCATTGTAAACGGTTTAAATTGTTTTATTAAATTATTAAAAATTATCATAAGACTAAGCATCTAGATATATTTGTTTATTTAGTAAAATGGCATACGTAAAGATCGCCCTACATTTACGATAGCATAATTCATATGGCTTCTGATATTCTAGCCAATAGCTGACATTTTATAAAACACTTTTAACGGCTTAACATACAAAATATATAAAACTGCACGAAGTTAATTAATATTTCGCAATATTTCGCGTTTTAACCCGTCCAAAGCGTTTTACTTCCTGGAAGTATTGTGTGTATCGAAGTTTCTTTCAAATAAGATTTTTTGCATTTGTCTATTTCGTTTTGTACTTAACATTTTTTTTAAATAATTACTAGTTAACAACTGTTGTATTCAAAAACAAAGGATACTATTTTACTATGCCCAAAATTACATTTTTTTTATAAATTCGAACCAATAATTACTGAGATTAGTGCGTTCAAACAAATAAGCGAACAAACATTTTTTTCTGCCGCTAGAGCCAGAGTAGCCTAACTGCAATTTGATGACTTATTTATATTTTTACAGTAAAAAAATGTTAATCTACAAGAGCACAATGATGGAAAGATGTTAACATAATTCGTACACAAATAATAGTACAAATTCATTTTCGCCTAAGATAATTGCGCATTTTTATTTTCCTCCTTGAAAATTGAAATCATGTTACTCGTTATTAGGCCACTCTGGCACTAGCAGCGTCATATTTGATGTGAAAGATGAATTATAGGTCTCCGGACACGTCATAGGGATTCACAATTCCAGCTAATCTGATTATCCTCTGAGTCAGTTCTCTCTTAACGTTTAACGGAACGAATGAATTTTGGGATTGTCTAGTTCAGTGTTCTCCAAACTTTTTTGTGTCGTAGACCCCTTGCCATGTTTTTCCCTGTTGGGTTGACCCCCTACTTATCTGATATTGATTTCCGGTTAATGTCTTACTGTAGTGAAGTCTTAATAACTAACTTTTTTTCGCTGACGTAGAGCCCTTGCAGGTTATCATACACCAGGACTAGATATGGACCACTTTGGGAATCACTGGTGTAGTTGGTCCAATGGTAGCAATCCATATCTTATCTATGGTTTGTGGATTCAGAACAAATCGATGTTGGAGTTAGTCTGAAAATGTAAATTTAAATAAAACACTTCAACGGTTTAAAACGCGATATATTAGTTAAACTTGTTTAAAAAATATTTTTGTGGTAACTTCGGGCCGTAGTTAAACATAATTTTCAAACAAGTTTAACTAAAATATGACGCGTTTTAAACTGTTAAAGTATTTTATTTAAATGTGTACTCCTCGCGTAAGCTGCAGACAGTAGGGGATTGTAAAATCAGAATTTCGTTCAAGTCTCGAACCACAGTCCACGAAATAAAGCATGTTTGTGTTCCAGTTTACCGATTGTCCAAATAGAAATCAGTGCACCTAATGTTTTTTGACCTAGTACGGAACCATTCGCACAATCCGACTCGCACTTAACCATTTCTACTACCTCCCTGAAGACCCAACAACATTGCTGTCTACCCACAATAACAGGCTCATTGTGGGTAGACATCACCATTATTACAATGGATGACAGACACCGTTCCACTTGTCTATTTTATCTTCGCATCTCTCGTCATTCAAACACAGTAAACATAGAGTAAGTATTGTCCGTAGTTCGCGAGAGTATTACCCATTTAAATAAAACAATTTTAATGGTTTAAAACGCGATTAGTAAACTTCTTTAAAATTACGGGGGGAGTGACCACGACTGCTGCAAAGTATCTCAAACGTCGGATAGTTAAAAAAATATTACGTAATAAATGTCCCGGTTTAAACCGTTAAAGGTGCTATAGTAAATTGTGTATTACTCGTGCAAACTACAGATAATACAAATACTTTCTATAGTTAACGCGAGTAGTACACATTTAAATAAAACACTTTAACGGTTTAAAACGCGATATATTAGTTAAACTTATTTGAAAATGATTTTTAACTTCGGCCCGACGTTTCGCATGCTTTGCAGCAGCCGTGGTCACGGGGAGACATAATACAAATTATGCATTAGCGGTTTTAAACGCGAAATATATTGCCGTTATAATCAAATACAATAGCGTTGGTAGTGTATACAAATAAGTTAATATATTTCGCATTTTTAACGTGTGTTTTGTATAGACGAAGCAAAATATGTTATTGTCTAGACTACATATAGATACTACATATAGATATAAAAGAAGGTTAACTGATAGCCCATTTATCAATAAACGCGTTATACCCGAACTAAATCATATAAATAATTATTTTACGAGTAACTAGCTGCGCCCGCGACTTCGACCGCGTGGATGAAACTTGGGGTAGAATTTGTAATTATTTAGGCTGTATATTTATTTATAAAAGAGCGCACTATAGACAGCCAATCTATGTTGTAAGTGGTACTTTGCCGCAATACTGTCACCTCCCATCACTCCCACTCTCATTCCTAGACTCACTCCCACTTATTCCCAAAAAGCCAAAGAAGAAAGTTTCATTGTTCTAGCTTCAAAAACCACGAATTGTCAATATGGTGCTTTCCCAGGTGTCGAATCCGGGATATTTTCGCTTACCGATGTTTAAATTAAGATTTCTTACTTAAATAAAACACTTTAACGGTTTAAAACGCGATATATTAGTTAAATTTATTGGAAAATTATTTTAACTACTGCCCTTTCTCGATGTTTCGACGACGAATAAAAATCGCGTTTTAAACCGCGTTTTAGCGTAAACAACAGACAGTTAAATAAATACCATCCAATCGCGGGTTGGTGTTTAGAAGGATAATATATATCGCGTTTTAAGCCGTTATTGTTTTATTTAAATGTGTACTACTCACGTAAACTACAGATAATGTTTAAGATTTCTTATTACTAAAGTTCTTGTCTGTGTGTGAGGCGGTCTCTCGTGTAAGCTAGTGTCTGCTGTCCCCCAGACATTACAAACACTGACTTCACTGGTGACGCGAGTCTATAAGCTTTTGTGAATAACAAAATGAAGGGTTTTATTCTTCTTCTTCTTCTTCTTACCGTGAGTTTAGTGATGAGTGCTGGACTGCCGAGGCACGGAAATAATATCGACTATGTAAGTACTTTAATCTCAATATCAATATACTAGGTGTGCCCGCGACTTTGGTGAACATTTTTTTTGATAATAAAAAAAAATTCTTAAACTTTTTAAATTACTTTTCTCGTTTTTTACACCTTTCTCTCAGTTGTTTCGAGATTACTTTAATTTACATTTTTATACAATAAATGAAATAAAACACTTTTAACGGTTAAAACCGCGAAATATATAAATGAACTTATATTTAATTTTAACGACAGCCTGACGTTTCGGATGCTTTGCAGCTGTGGTCGCGCGGGGCCTATAAACATTAAAAATATTTTAGGCTGGCGAATTTCTCTGCAACAGGCGAGATGCGAACCTACGACTGCATTATCATCAACATGCAAACAATTAATTCTAAATAAAACACTTTTAACGGCTTCAAACGCGAAGTATATTAAATTATTAATTTGTTAATAACATAAATTGCAAACGTCTACTTTTTTAGAATTTATTTCAACTACAGCTTCGGATCGTTACAATATTTTAAATTAAATATTTCGTTAAACCGTTAAAAGTGTTTTATTTAATTGTAAACTAGTCGCGAACTATAGACAATATTTACTTTTTTTTCGTGTACATCTTATCCGTGATGAAGAGAGGTTCCATTCTTTCCAGTTGGAAGCTCTTCGCCGGATGCAGCAGGTGCCACAGTGGCATTGCATGAGGTACCGTCGCTTCCACCCCCATGGCCACTGTAGCCGATGGTGGTTGACAAGGCGGGCTTAGGCCAAAATCGAAACATTTATATGGAAGAGGCAAGAATGAGGTTTAAATAGACGGTGAAATTATATTTTCTTTTGGTGATGAGAGATGTGTTATCGACCTATTTTGTCTTTACACGCTTTGACAAAGCAGTTGATATAATTACAAATAGTTGTGGATTCAAATACATATTTTATTAATTTGTATTATTAATTAAAACATTTTTAACGGTTTAAAAGTCAAGGTCACGGGGCAGACCAGCTATTGTAAAGCATCCCAGAGGGGTCATACTTAAAGATAGATAGATGCCTCGTTTACTTTATTATGTTTAACAAGAAAGATTTTGATTCTTTAAACATCACTTTTGGCTTTTATTTTGTTTTTCACCATCGTAAATTCTCATACATATATGATATTTGTACCTATAAAAATACTAACTTAAATAAACCATAGACCGCCTTTGTTATAATAAGTAGTATTTTAGGTAGGCAACAGATCAGCTACTCTCGTTTATAAAAACGTCCTAAATAAAATTGTTTAACTTTTCAACAATTTATATTATTTTAATTGTGATAGTCCTAACACAAATAAGTTGTCTATTATTGTCTGCGTTTCTGACGGTTAAACGTGTTTTATTTGAAATAAAATCTCGGTTAATACATTTGTAGTACCACCGTGTACACAATTCAATGTGGGCATTGAATTGTGTTACATAGATACATAGAGAGACCGATTCAAACGAGAGTCTGAAACTATTTTTCCCCGGGATTTGAACCAAAGACTTCTAGAGCTACTAAACCATCATATTAATGGATCAATGGATATAAGAATTAAATGAGAATTCTCTATCAGTAAGTTATCATACATATTATAAACAAGTAAATAATGTATAAATTAAGAATCGATTATAGATAGAAAAAGAAATACTACCCGGGCAGGACTTGAAACGGCTTTCCAAAGCGTTCCGTGCTGTTGCTCTAACCAATAAACCTGCCCGGATCGTAATTCTTTTTAAATGTGTAACACATATTTAATTTTAATAGTGCCATCATGTGCACATGAAAAATATAAAAGGTTTCTAATATATTTCGTATTTTAAACCGTCAAAGCTGTTTTATTTAATCTAGTACCGGATTTAGTTCACTTCGCAAGGAAAATATATAACGTCGTATAGGGTTACTCGTGGAATTAGTTTCAATGGAGTAATGATAGTCCACAAGTATTTAGTCATGAGTAACCAGATACTGCGTGGCTACCGAGGCCTTCCTGGTAGGAGCTAGGCCTCTACTGGATAACGGCGGATCCAGAAGGGGGGTCGTGGGATCATGATCCCTTATGTGTGGAGCTATGTAGGCATGAGGCCTTAGGTGGAAGAATTGAACATATCGATTTTAATTACAAACTAGCTGTGTCTGCGGCGTCCGCGTCGTCCACGTAGAATAGTCAGCCCGTCGTTCTTGCAAGTTATTCTTAAAAGACGGACAAAGTTATTGTCGCGGACATTTTTTTAAATATTTTAAAGAGAAATCATTCGTTGATACATACTTTTTGGGTATCTTGCACCCTGTTCGCAGCGTACTCAACGGATACCCAAAGGGTGAATAATTTTTGAATCATTTCCCCCCCGTTTCTTCGCTCTTAGTCACAGCGCGTTTTATTTAGCGCCATTTCTTATAACCTTTCTCGATAAGTGGTCTAACCAAAACAAAAAACAATCAATCCGAACCAGTAGTTCCTGAGATTAGCACGTTCGAACAAACAAACTCTTCAACTGTATATATTACTAGTTGTGTTAAATTCTTCAGTGTAAAAAGAAAAATTTGAATTAAAATTGAATTAAAAGTTCTTGACTTGACCGAGACCATGTTCCACCTTCTGGTGCCAAAGCTTGGAGTGTATGATCCAACATCTGATTCAGTCGTTGAACTAAAGGCAATGACGTTATATTGGCCTTAATTCATCCTTATCGCAAGATCTTGGTGGGTCCATAAAGAGATACCGTGAGTCAGCTCTGCAAGGACCCAGCCAGTGTTTGTCAAACACTAACTACGTAACAGATGGCGCTAGCGTAGCAGATTTGACTTGAACCCTAATCTCAAATCGTCCTCCAGGCTACGCGTGAACACGGCTACTGCAAAGCATCCGAAACGTCGGGTCGTAGTTAACATAAAAACGTGCTATACAAAAGATGATGGGTACGTCGCTTCTTAAATTATTAAACTCTAGCAGTGTCGGCAACTTCGTTCCCGTAGAATAGTTATTTTGGGCGTCAAAATTTCTTTTTGCAAACCTCCTCCTCCTTTTTTTAAATATGGCAAAAGTTAACAACCCACGACTGTTCGCCTGCCGTCTTTCTTGCAAGTTATTCTTAAATTAGACAATTACTGTTGCGGATTTTTTTTAGATTATGTAAAGAGGAATATTCTCTCCTACATATTTTTGATACCTCGACCACACAAGTTTTCCTCAATCAGCACAAAAATATTTTTTCAATTTCCACCAGTAGTTCCTGAGATTAGCGCGTCCAAACAAACAAACTCTTTATACGTTAGTATAGATTATTAACTAGTAAAAATTATTATAATTCCACATCTTATTATACTCTGTAATCATAATTTACAAGAGTATACATTTATATGAAACATTGTTAACGGATTGAATTGGGAAATATATACATAATATTCACCGCTTTCGACTCACAAGTCTATTTTAATTTGAATTAAGTCTTAGTCTCTTTGTAATAAGTACAAGGGGGATACATAACTTATAATACACAATTATATTTATTGAAAGTTTTAATAAGGAATTAATCAAAAATATTTATGTTATCTGTGATTTATGCGTATTATGTACACATTTAAATAAAACAGTTTTAACGGTGTAAAACCCGAGCTATATTAGTTGACTTATTTTTCATTTAAATTATCTACGGCCAGACTTTTTGGACCGCGGGAGAGCCGAGGGACAGTTAAATTAAAAATAAGTCAAATAATAAATTTCGCGTTTTAAACCGTTAAAAAGGCTTAGAACATAAATTTTAGAAAAAATGTACGCATTGGATAGGGGATGAGACGCGAATCTACCACGTACTGTAATATTATTTAGTAAAAGTAATTAAATTGTTTATGCTTTGTTGATTCCTTGGCTCCCTTCGTCGGTTCGTCAGATAGAGATGATTGTCCAACAGTCGAATTGTGAAGAAGAATATCAGCTCGACGAAACTCAACAGACTCGCTCCAACGAAGAGACCGGCTGCGCCCCCCACTGAAACTATTTCAAATTTAATTTAAGCAAATTATTTCAAAACTTAACTTACCCATGTTATTGTCCTTTTCGTATCTGTAGCTAAACTGTTAAATGTCTTGCTTAGCATTGCGTTAATCACGAGAGGTCCTCAGTTCGCATCCCGGGGAAACAATAGATTGTTTCGTTGTTAAACTACTTGCCTGTAAAAGGACCGATCAGTCCAACGGACACATTAATGTGCCCCATACCCCAAGGGGGAACAGGGAATTTCACTTATGTTATTGCTCATTAATGAAAAATCTTCTACATGAGCGGGACTCGATCCGGTTTCCACAGCGATCCGTGCTCAAAACAATTGAAATCTACCGTTAAACTCTGTAATTTCATCTCCAATGATTTTCTTAAGCTGCAAAGCAGAAGACGTTGGACCTTAAAACGCAGGTATAAGGTTGAAATTACAAAAAAATTCGACGACGACGTCTAGGACTCGGTATGAGATACGGATTGATTAGAGCAGCACGGAGCGCTGTGATTGCCGATTCGAGTCCCGTACATAGGTACTTCTTTCTTTAACTAACCGACTAGATCCAGACGACTTCTGACGACGTTCCTCTTAAATCTTTCGGTCGGCAGATAAGCTAGCTTCAGTTCCACGGATATTCTCTTCTTTTGAGATCGGCTAAAGAAACAAACGGTGAAAATTATTTATTTCTTAACGCGCTAATCTTAGGAATTGACTGAATTCGAATTGAAAAATTGTTTTTGTGCATTGTTAGAGCATTAGAGCACGAAGAAACAGCGGAAATGTGGAAAAAACGGGGGAAATTAACATTTTGTGAGCTTCGAAGCTGCGAAAACCGTTCAAGATACCAAAAAACACATATAACGTATAAAAGAATCATTTCTCCTTAAAGGATGTAAAAAAATGTCCGCACCAATATACGTCTATCTTAAGATTAACTTGCAAGAACGTCAGGACGCGGCCGACGTTGTGGGTAACCGTTTAAGTTTATACAGCAAAAACAAATTTGGTTGCCCAAAATATCAATTTTACGCGAATGCATTCGCTGGCGCAGCTAAATTATATTGAACACTATTCAATTAGTAAGTCTCCTTGGCGTTAATTCATCAAACGACAAACACAGATGAGCTATTGAGAAATAGAACGATGTCTAGAAGTACACATTTAAATACTGTGCACTTAACGGTTTAAAACGCGAAATTTAAGCATCCGAAACGTTGGGGGTAGTTTAATTAAATGTAAGTTCTATGCCGCATGTTAACACATTCGGCTCGGGCTTTGATTGGGACACAGATTATCATAGTTGGGACTAATGTCCCAACGTAGCTGAGTGGTCTCCTGTTCAAAACTGTTTTATTTATTATTTTATCTGTATATCGTTACATAATATTTTTGTTAAATGTAAGTCTTATGTTCTTTTCTTAATAGACGTATTTCAATTCTAGTCAACTAATATATTTCGCGTTTTAAACCGTTAAAGTATTTTATTTAATTGTGTACTACTCGCGTAAACTACAGACTGTGTTTAAGTCTTATTTGTGTTAGAATGGCTTATTAAAAGTAAATAAATTTATTTATCTCTCTATTTATATTACGAAGCTGGTGTGACGACGTCCTTGATGACAGTAATCTCGGTCTCATCGCACGAGGGCAGGCACTCGCAGACCAGACCAGCCCGGTTCTCCTCCCAGTGGGGCTTCAGGGTTGTCAGCTGGCTGGCGTGCAGATGGAGGCACCACAGGCCAGTTATGTTGCACGTCTTCGAAGCATCTGAAAATCCATCCGCAGGACGAAATTGGTAATGTGGTGATACAGTCACGATAGTATTCATGTGCTGAGTAACACTTTTGCCGAGTAACGAGTACCGCGTTTTACTCGGATCAAGTTTTTTTCAACCGAGTACTGGGCCGAGTAACTCGGTTCTTCGGACTTCGCGCGCTTAAACAAGTATAAACGGCATCACAGGTCAAGACGTCGGCTCGCTCTCATTTTCTCGTAGCTTTTTAGTAATTGAGATTTTGAAAGATTTCCTAAATTACTAATAAATATTTTAGATTAACACTCTTGTTTTAATTATATCTACTGATATGAATAATCCTCCGACTTAGCGGGGACGACACAACACTAGTGCGACGCGATTGCCGCGCGCGTCTCGGCACTGGCTCGGGAACTGTCAAATACGAACGTTGGCGCGCATTCTGTCGGTTAAGCCTAATTTTGGATAATAAATGAATATTTAAGAGTTTAACATTGTTTTTCCGACTTAACACTACCTAAATATATTTATTTTCTTAAACAAGATATGCTCGTTATCAAATAACAAAGTAAAACCGAGTTATTCGGCCGAATACGAGTATCAAAAAAACCCGGCAAGGACACTGAGTACCGAGTACCGAGTACCAACCAAGTACTAGATATTAAATTCGTTAGTTGGAAATTTCGTCCAGATCATGATAAAACGTGTTATTTTTAGGTTTTGTAACTGCGTGTAGAAAATTATGATGAGGTTGGTACCAAAGTATTTTAAAAGAAACATCGGATGGTAGAATTCATTAGCAGATATATTTTGTATTTAACCAGTTTTAAACTCTTTTATTTAGTTTATACTTCACTGTAAATGACGCTTCGCAACAACAATTACTTAAGTTTTTAGAGCTGTTCTTTATTGGGCTTTTTTGCAGTTAGTTAATAAAAAAATACAACATAATCGTTATGATGTACTGTTTACGCGAGTAGTACACATTTGAATATAACACTTTTACCTGTTTAAAACGGGAAATGTATTAATTATTATAGGGTTTAAAAAGTTAAGTAAAATTTTCCGCATTTCAAACCATTTAAAGCTGTTTCATTTAAACTAAATTTTTTATACGTTGATAATAAGGCGATTGCAGGTTCGTATCTCGCCTGTTCAATAGAAATTCGTCAACCTACAATCCTTCACCTGTTCCGATCATAAAGTGGTCGTTGCAGCCGCACAGCTGCATTTGCTGCCGCTTGCGGCACTGAACAGTGCAAGAGCTGTAAGAGTAGACAGGGTAGAGGCCGTCGTCGTTCTCGTCGTGGAACCGGCAAGCTCTTTGCTCTGGCGTGGTCTCAGCGGTGAGTGGGTCGTTCTCGATGTTTCTCACCACCACTTGTCTCCTGCATCGACGTGAATACTTTTTTTGGTATATTGAATATCTTCGCAGCGCATCAAATAAAATTGACTATGATAAAGTGACCGCCTCTGTAGCTAATTGGTTCAACGTGTTGCCTTGCATTGCGTTAAGCGTGAGATGTCTTGGGTTCGAATCCCGGAGAAACTGTAAATTGTTTCGGTCGGGCAGTGCACAGAAGTCTGATCAACTACTTGCCTAAATACTGTCTATAGTTTACGCGAGTAGTACACATTTAAATAAAACACTTTAACGGTTTAAAACGTACTAATATATCGCGTTTTAAACCTTTAAAGTCTTTTATTTAAACTACTTGCCTGTAAATAAAACCGATCACAGGACAAACGGACACGGAAATGTGTTCGCCCCATGCCCCACGCGGGCATGATAAATTATATAATTTCATAGAACAAGTCGATTGGGCAAAAAGTATACGATTGACGTTTGTTTTAAACCGTTAAATACATTTATACGATTTTACACGATTTACACAATAAGTTTTAGAGGTATCCATAAAACATGATTTCTTTAATGGCGTTTAACAGATTATTTGAATTATTTTGTATATATATATATATAATTAAGCTTAGTATAAATCAATATTTTCGTGATGTATAAATGTGGGTAGTTCACAAAATGTTTAAAAAGTAATGTTCGTGATATTCGATGACGTCCGTCTAACACTTGGTCGGTTGTTTGTCTGTTGTTATAAAAGGAGGTACGCTATAGAGCGGGTAGAGCAGTTGCTTTTGAGAAATCGTACGGCGATTATATTATAATGAATAGGTTATGATATATATATACATATATATTATACTGAATTCGTATCAATATATGTCAATTAAGTGTCGTAACCTCGTGTAATATATAGATAAATATCTTTAAAATGTGTATATAATTGGGGCACCATTATTTGTTTAATTAGACGTTTGTATATATTGTTGTTATTATGGGGACTACGTTGCTGAAATATATCTTGATTTACGAAATGGAATAGCTTTTGACCCTATATCTTCTTGTTATTCTCCAATATCTCATAAAAACCAATACCTTTAATTATATTTTAGGTTTCTTTTTAATAAAATCTAACACGTTCATCTATGAATCTAGATAAACGCAGTAGTTTCAAGTAATTATTTCATTTTTTAAAATGACTCACTGGTAATTCTTTCCTAAAGCCAGTTTCAACGTCGAAGAAAAAATGGTTGTGATCGTGGGTACTTCATCTTCTCCCAGAGTGTAGAGCTTTAAAAATAAATATACAATTTAACACTACTGTCTGTAATACCATATTTGTAATATCATTTTTTCACAACTTTATTATGAAATACTATTAGTATTAGATTTGTTCGATATTTATAAACACATGTCATCGTCGTAAGGTATTGTTTATTGTTCTTTCATTTTGTAACCTTGTGTTATTAAGTAATGTCTGTAGTTGAAGTAGACATTGAAATAAATTACTTTTAACGGTTTAAAACGTGAAATGTATGAGTTAAACTTATTTAGAAATTATTCCAACCACGATAGAACGTGTTATGAAAGCCGTGGTCGCGGGGGGACTGCGAAACATCCAAAACGTCGGCTTGTAGTTGATATAAATTGTAATCGATTTAAATAGTATGTAAAAATCATGCGTTTGAAACCATTCAAATTGGTTTAATTTTTAAATTGCGCGTTTTAAACCACATTTAACGTTATGCTAACTAAAAGCTTCCCAAAAAGTTATTTTTAGATACCGTAGTCACGGGGGGCAATAAACATGGAGGGTGTCAAAGTTAAATGTAAAAAAACTTGTAAATAAGCATAACTAATACTTTTCCCGTTTTAAACCGTTAAACGTGTTACAATAAACAAGTTTAATGAAGTCTTTATAATGAAACGTATCCTTACCATGGAATTCAATAGTACCTCAAAGTTAAGAACTCCCTCCTTCTGGTTCACGTTGAACACCATTGGATATAACTTGGGTTTCCTGAAACATAAAAGAAAATTGGTAATAACTATAGACTAAGTGAAGAAAATGCTCGTTGGTCCAAAGGTAGCGTAATAAGTTATCTACATGCCGTGTCTGCAATTGGTCGCTTTCCGGAAACATGTTGAACTTTTAAATTAAACAATTTAATGGTTTAAAACGCGTTTATTTTAGTTAAACTTGTTTAAAAAAGTTTTAATATCGCCCGAAGTACCAAATTGACGGAACAGAGGCGCTAGCGTAGCAATTTTGTTTGACGATGAGAGGCATCCTTCATATTTAGTCTCCGGTGACCACGGCTGCTCCATCCAAATCAACTAAACCACCCACACTTCGGTCGTGGTTAAAAATATTCCCACCTAGATAATTGTAGATTAGTTCCAATACATTTGTTGTACCTACAGTCGATTTCATTCAAAAGTTGGTATCTTATGATCTATTCGAAACAGTTGTTTCGGCAGGATTCAAATCTCTAGGTACTACCTTAGGTAGGCAGCGTGTTATGTCTTAGTAACTATTATTGTTACGTAACGCATTACAACGACACTCTATCGGCTCCGAATACATTTTTAAATGTTTCCAAAGTTTACTATCGGCCCAAGAATAATTGTGAAGAAATATCATCTCATATGAAGCCGTTACGTAACGCGTTATGCAACGCATCTGTCACGTTTTTGAACTTACTCTACTTGCAGAGAGTTCAGCGCGAAACAAGTTCCCATATCCGTTTCTATTGGAACGAAGTATTCGCAACAGTCGAACTGTCTTTTGCCAAAAGAACAATTCCTCATCATCTCCTGACAAGAGCTTCGTACAAGATTTACGTAGTGGGTGAAATTGGATACAGGACATTGGGGGTCCGGTGTTCGAGTTTGAGTGCAGACACCGGAGAAGCTGTACGCCGACCCACGGAAGTACACGATGTCCTTCAGTACATCTTCTAGATCTAGTAAATGGTCTGGCGTCCAGATTCTAAAAAAAAAACAGTTTTCGAAACCAGAGATTCGGTTAGTTCAATCGAAAGTTTAGTATTGGCCTAGTCTACTGACTACATTTGTAGGCAGTAGACTAGGCCAATATATTTATATTAGTTACTATATCTATACTAATATTATAAAGCTGACGAGTTTGATTTTATATTTGTTAATCTCATGTACTACTGGGTAGACTTATTTACTATTGCGACCAATACGAGCGAAGAAACAGAATGAAATGTAGAAATAACGGAAAAATCATTCATCTCTGAGGGTTCATCGTTGCGTGCGCTGCGATAACGTTTAAGATACTCAAAAGATATCTATGAAAGAATTATTCCTCCAAAACGTCCGCGACAGTAGGTATATGTCTATCTTTTAAGATTAACTTGCGAGAATGTCGGAACGTGGGGACGTCGTGGGTAACAGCTTATAAAGATGATGAGGAGCTTATCTTCTCTCTACTTACGCATCAGAAACATCATAGATCTTGTGATCATTGGATGCCTCGCAGACAGCAACCGCGGGCAGCTTTGTGTCCCAGTCTGTGTACACAGTCTCCACGCCGAAGCTTATGGGGTTGTTCACGAACGCTGACCACGCTGACCGCACGAGCAGAGCAGACCCGTACCACGAGAGAACCACCAACACCACCCAGAACCATCTACGGCGGGTAATATATTTAGTAACAGCTGTCATTGATAAGGGTGATGAGGGGGTTTGCAAAAACAAATTTTGATGCCCAGAATAACTATTCTACGATGTTCTTCGGCGCAGGCGCATCTAATTGTGCGGTTGCCATGGTAACAATGAGGCTTGTTTGACGGGTTGAATCTTTAGTCTAATGTTAGCAATGTAATCCAGAAAGCCAACAGGTCGTAAGGTCGATTCTATACGGCTGGGGTATTTCAGCTCTCATCAAGTGGACCCCGTTGTCCGTCCCCTTTGTCCGTCCTCCTGTATCATAAAAAAGTAATGTCGCGGTATTTAGCTGAACCAGTTGAAATAAGCCAACTACTCACCGTTCCACCCAGTGCTTGGACTCGTCAGCGATGTGCGAGAGACCGGCAAAAGTACAATTCTTGCAATACTCTTTGAAATGTCCTTTGCAACTTACGGACATACTGTTTTATTATCAACTAGCGACCCGCCCCGGCTCCACTCGGGTGCAATGCTAACGTATATAAAAACTCGTCGTTTTAAAGATGTTGAGACTGGGGCCGAAAAAGCTACTTTGTTTTATACTATTAGTGATTACTTAAAATAACACACATTAGAAAATACTTTAACGGTTTAAAAGCGATATATATCAGTTAAACTTGTTAACGGCCCGGCGTTTCGGATCCTTGGCAGCAGCCGTGACCACTAAATATATATATAATAAGTTTAACAAATACATATTATATGATTATGCGAGAAGTATACATTTAAATAAAGCACTTTTAACTTCTCGATGTCTCTCCGTGACCACGGCTGCTGCAAAGCATTCGAAACGTCGGGCCGCAGTTAAAAATCATTTTTAAATAAGTTCAACTAATATATCGCGTTTTGTTAACAGTTAAAGTGTTTTATTTACAATTTTTGTGAGTGTTATGTCTATATATCTACTAAAATTAAATTAAAACTGAAGGGGTAAATTACTTTGACGAATGTACTATTGCTTAGCACTAGACCAGGTTACAGCAAAGTACTCAATGAAAGCTTTGTTACAAGCTAATTGGTGCTGTGCAACCATTTTAATAATAATTTAATTGCATTATCTATCGTGCCTTGGCGTAACACGTTCAAGGGTGTTATTGCGATATTGCGATAGCACGAACGATGCACGAGACTGCGCATATAATACTAGCTGTGCCCGCGACTTCGTCCGCGTAGAATAGTTATTTTGGGCAAAAAAATTCGTTTTTGCAAACCTTTATTAATAGCCTAACCAACGACGTCGGTCGCTTCCCGATGTTCTCGCGAGTAAATCTCAATATCTGACAGACATAATATACACTCTTATATACAAAAAAAGCAATGCAAGAAGTGGAAACGCGACAGACGTCGTGGGTCGCTTAAGCTTATAAACGAATCTCGCGGACTTATATTTTTAAATGGTCTTTCAAAATAAAAATAAAAAAGTCTTGGCGTTTAATTTATTTATTTCCTAATACAGTATAAATCATATAACACACTTATTGCACACAATGAGATAAGACGGCTCTCTTATCATTAATAAGTTGCACTTGTAGGTATTGTTTGCATCTCGTACAGAACCTTTTTGAACGGATTGAATCGCGTATTATATATTTTATTAATATTGATCTAAATATTTTTTTAGCTCACGTTTCGTTGGTACGTTAGCCATTAGCGTCAGGTCGAAATAAAGAAATATCGATGATACAGGACTCGGTAGCTCAATTGGTCGAGCAACAGCAGGGAACGCTGACGATGCCGGTTCAAGTCCTGCCCTAGTCGATTTATTTTTTAATTTATTTTCGATTTTTGAAATCAATGATACAGTTCGCATATATAACCGTTTAAAATCGTTTTAGTTAATTAATGGTACGGGGCTTTAACGTCCATTTTGAAAAGATTCTTGGGTGTCGAGGTTGTCGTAAGTGAGAAAATGTTTTCGACGTTTTGTTCATTCTTCATTTATTCGAACGTGTAACAACCCGAGCAACGACAACAACAGCTTCAAAATTTACATAAAACACTTTAACGGTTTAAAACGCGATATATTAGTTAAACTTATTTGAAAATCATTTTCAAGTTTAACTAATATATCGGGTTTACCTTAAAGTGTTTTATTTAAATGTGTGCTACTCGCGTAAACTATAACAGTATTTAATATAGAAATAGTCTAAGTCTAAATTGAAAGTATTTAATTCAAATAAGTTTGTCTAATATTTATCGCGTTTTAAACTGTTGAAGTGTTTTATTTAAATGTGTACTATTCGCTGAAGCTAAAAGCAGTATTTTTATATTCATTTAAATAAAACTCTTTAACGGTTTAAACGCGTTTTAAACCCCTAAGTTGTTTTATTTAAATGTGTACTACTGGCGTTAACTACTGACAGTATTCTAAACTTTCCTATGTCTGAACAGTCTACAAGTACTGCAGAGCCTCTGGGTTATGTAAGAACGGTGAATCGTGGTCCGAGGGGTGGAAAGTCCTGTAAGGGGCTGGATGTTGGTTGAGGTAGTTCCTCCTCCCAATGAACCCGGCGTGGGTCAAAATTTTATAGATTTCCCTCCGCGGCACCTTTTCCGCTTCCCTCTCGAAAACCTGAAAAGATAACCAACCGTAGAATGTAAAGAACTAGCTGGTTCAGCGACTTTGTCCGCGTAGAATAGTTACTTTGCTCATTGAGCTGTTAACCAACGACTTCGCTCGCGTCCCGTCGTTCTTGCAAGTTAATCTTAAAAGATAGACAGATAGTGTCGCGGACATTTTTTTATATCGTTTAAAGAGGAATCATTCTTTGGTACATATTTTTGACTATCTTGAACCGTTTTCGCAGCTTACGCATAGGAAACGCACGGAAATGAATAATTTTCCCTTTTTCCCTTTTCTCTAAAGCAATGTTTTATAGCCTATGTCTTCTTCGATAAATACTATATACTCTATGCAACACAAAAATAATCAATGGAACCAGTGGTTTCTAACGTTAGCGTGTTCAAACAAACAAACTCTTCAGATTTATAATATTAGATTACACTACAAAATGTTCCGTAAACACAAACCGCATTTTCACCCGGATGTAGGACGCTGGTGAGTGAAAGTATATCTTGCAGATGCGGGTTCCTCAGAGCAGGACTTCGCAAATGCGAAGGTAGGAGCTCTTCCGCCTGCCTCACGGCCACCACGGCGGGGTGTGGCGGGGGGAGACAGCTAGCCAGGTAAGCGCTGGTGAGCACCAGAAATGTGACCCTGAGCAACATTGTATTTTAGCTCTAGTACCTGAAAAGAAATACAATTTGGAACAAACCATTGTCTTTATAGATAGCCAAGATGGGTCGACAGCGCATTTGTTTAGATTATATACGGCTCGGTTATTTCACCTACCATCGAGTGTGTGTCTGTCCTGCTCTATAAAAAATCGCAGCTCGCACAAATCAGATAAAACAATTGAAGACTTTAACCAACAGACGACACTCTACAGGAGGGTTTAATGTAAATGTTTAAAATGTTGCTAGGAATCGAATCTGGGAACGCGAAAATTCACTCACGTGAAGCGACGGAAACGACCTTGGGATTGTGCAAGACGTTCGCGGTTCCATGTTAAAAGCATGGAATACATACAACAATGCGTCAAGGTCGACCCGACAAGAATTATACTTTCAAAAGCGGGCCTTGGGAAATATACGAGAATCTTCGCTCGGATTTTGCGAAAGAAACGACCTTTCAAATTAACAAAATCACTCGAGTTTCGGAAAAGGTACTTTTGATTACATCGACGAGCAGTAAGTTCGATTTCAGCCGGATTCAACGATTCTAAAACTATTAAAATAAAACACGTTAAACGGTTTTATTATTTTCTAGCCTTTAGAACAAATGATAGATTTATTTAAGAATTAAGTATTGCCTTTACTTTACGCGAGTTGTACACATTTGAATAAAACGCTTTTTAACGGTTTAAAACGCGGTATTTAATATTTAAACTGATTTAAAAATTTATTTTAACAACGGCCCAAAGTTTCGGATGCTCTGCAGCACCCGAGGTCACTCGTGATAATAAATTCAGTTTAACATATACGTTGGTTATTTTTATTTCTCTAAAGAGTAGAAAATTTATTAGGGCAAGAATCTCGAAGCTGGGAACGGGTCACGAACCACCGTTCACAGATCGAAAAGCTGCAAAGTGCTTCGGTCAGTTTTTGGATTCCGGAGATTAATAATATATAGCTAATCTGAGGCATTTGTATGGACGTTCTCCTTATAAAAAATATATTTTTTTGTTTTGATTTTAGATAAAATAACTTTCTTGCATTCGAAATTATCTGGACAAAGCTGTTTATATTTAAATAAAACACTTTAACGGTTTAAAACGCGACATATATTTTAAACTAATTTGTCTCCCCGTGACCACGGCTGCTGCAAAGCATCCGAAACGTCGGGCCGAAGTTAAAAATCATTTTCAAATAAGTTTAATTAATATATCGCGTTTTAAACCGTTAAAGTGTTTTATTTAAATGTGTACTACTCGCGTAAACTATAGACAGTATTCAAAGCTGTTTATTTGTTTATCATTATTTAATAAATCTAACATAGTTCTCTCATGTTCGGAGACACCAGGTAGCAGTTATGGTGAACTTCAATTTAATAAAAATGATGTGCAAAACATTAAAGTCTTAAACTTCGCATAACGTTATTAAACCGTTAAACGCGTTTTGATTAATTATGTATATACTCTTGCAAATAAAAAATCTTAAAACCACCTCGACCTAACTTAATATAAAACAAAGGTGACAAGTTTTAATCAAACACCATAATAACAGTAATGTTAAAACAATGGTCTTATTAAGGGCGAGTAGTATAGATTTTTGACGGCTTTAAATCCGAATAATATTAATTGAAACTAATAATTTAACATGGACAACAGTTTTTAAATATATATTTTTTAAATGAAAATACATATACGATATTTGTTTTGCGTTTAAAATTCCTTTGAAACATACATTTCGCGTTTTGCACCGTTAAATCGCTTTAAACCATAAAAACGACTATTTATTCAGGCTTTGTTATTAAAACACAACACATATTTACCACCTTTTACCACACGAAACTTAACGACACTTTAAAATAGCACTTATTACCTTTATACAAAGTTCACTTTGCACTGACGAATCTGAACGAAACAAAGGCCGTAAGCGGTTCCACTCAGGCGCAGAACGTAAATGCGGGCTAGCGCCTAGTGAGAGGTCTCACCCACCATCGAAGCCCTCCTTCGCTATTGTCACCCACCGCGCTGCCTCAGTGCGGGTTGGTGGGCTTAACACTACCACTATTAAATCAGTATCTTTTAAACTTGAATAGAGAAGAACAGCTTGTCTGTTCTTCTGTAGGGTTCACGTGATAAAAACAAATTGTTTAAATAAAACACTTTAACGGTTTAAAACGTGATTTAAATTCGTTTATTCGGAGATTATTTTATCTCCTCGTGACCTCGACTGCAAAGCATCCGAAAGGTCGGGATGTAGTTAAAGTAATCTCCAAATAAACTAATTCAAATCACGTTTTAAACCGTTAAAGTGTTTGATTAAATTGTGTACGTACACATTTTAATAAAACACTTTAACAGTGTAAAATACGATAAATATTAGTGAATCCCCCCCGTGATCACAGCTGCTGCAAAACATCCGAAACGTCGGGCCGTTCTTAAAATAATTCAAACAAGTTTAACTAATATATATCGCGTTTTAAACCGTTAAAGTGTTTTATTTAAAAGAACTTGCATGCCCTTTGGGGCCGTAGCATTTGTCTTCTGTAATTCTTCACTGAACACCAAGTGGACGAGCAATGTTGTTAGAAAAATTACCTGTATTTAATATTTACATATTTCGTTTATAAAGCAACTTAAAGAACCATACAAAAGTGTAATCCATTCTGAAGATTTTCAATCGTACAATAAATTAATAGTGACAGAAAAAAAAATTGGTCATTGTAAAAAGACACTTCTGAAGATTAAATAAAATAACATTCGTATTAATTCTTCGTTTATACCATCCGTAAATGTTTAGCAGCATATGCAATGTTTTTAATTTAACTAGATCCAAAGATATAATAAAATTATGCTGCAATAGACACAGACTATGCACTATAATGAGTTGCATAGATTTTTGCTAGGAATTTCGAAAGTCGTTTTTATGTAATATGAATGGACAATAACATTTTTAAACGTTGGAACTTGTATAACATTGAATAATTAAATAATTCTATAAAATAAATTTAAAAGCTTCTTAATAAGATTAAAAAAATGAGGGTAGTTGAATATTTCAACCTTAATACGCAAGTGTTAAGGTTGAAATTACACTGCGCGAGAGGTGCACGTATCAATAAGTTGAAAAAATTCGACGATGAGGTGTAGGACTCGGTAGCTCAATTGGTAGAGCAACAGCACGGAAAGCTGACGATGCCGGTTCAAGTCCTACCCGAGTCGAAAATTTTTTCAATTTATTTTCGATTTTTAAAAAATGAGGGTAGTTGAAAATTTTACGAATGACACTTAACAGCTTCACGGGTGTATATATATGAGTCGTTAACCTGCGTACGATCATTGCTAAGACGTGCAACGCAAGCGAACGTTTGTAATAAATAATTATAGTAAGTCATCATCTCTTCGATTGTTAAAGATTGAGATGATTCAGTTTACATTGGCGAGCGTTTAAAGTAAAACATATTTTTGTTCGCAGTGTACCGACAATTGTGATATTGCGAGCCATATTCACTGTCGCTGGGATCACCACTTGCGTAAGTACATATATTTTATCTGTTAAACTTATTTGATAATCATTTTAACTACGGCCCAACGTTTCGGACGCTTTGCAGCAGCCGTGGCTTTGCAGTAGTCTCCCCGTGACCATATATATCGCGTTTAAAACAGTTTAAAATGTTTTACTTAAATTACTCCTATATAAATACAATTAGTAATTAATATAAAAGGGGTATCCTATACAACACAATGCAATGCGGTTTTTTAGATTTTAAAACATTAAAGGTAAAAGGAAGAATTCACAAATAACAGTTAACATTTTTTTCTGTCATATTATTATAAAACAAATAATGCAGTTCAGCATGTCTAACTACCCATGTCTCATGAATTATAAAGTACTTTTTTTAAATTATTATCGAATACCTTTGCCTAAAGCTTTTCATGAGAAATATATGTTTTTATTTAGTTAAGTATGGAGTATCACGTGAACATGAGTACAAATTTTATAAGATACATAAACTGATGGTAATATATAAGAATTCTTCTACCGACTTCTTTTGACGGTCGACAAGTTTTTTATTTGGGTCAAAATTAGAAATCGAATTAGAAGTTTAAGCACTTTTGTGGTGTTAGATTGATCTGAAATTTGGTGCACACATTTAATTAAGATGACAATACAATATAATGAAATCAAAAACATTAAAAGTTCAAGATAGCCGCCGATACAAAATGGCGGATTACATATTTTTCCTTATAGGATTGAGATTTTAAAATAACTTTTGCAGTAACATTGTCGACATTTCGAGGCAACCTGTATAGGTGTTATAGAAAGTTGAGTAAATCTGTAGGCAGCTTAGAACCAACCGTCGGGTCAGAAAAAAAAAAAAAAAAAAAAAAAAAAAAAAAAAAAAAAAAAAAAAAAAAAAAAAAAAAAAAAAAAAAAAAAAAAAAAAAAAAAAAGAGGGGAAAAAAAAAAAAAAAAAAAAAAAAAAAAAAAAAAAAAAAATTGGGCCCCGGGGGGGGGGGGGGGGGGGGGGGGGGGGGGGGGGGGGGGCGGGGCAAAGCAAAAAGAAGGGGGGGGGGGGGGCCCCCTTTCTTGGGGTTTTGTTTTAAAAAGGGGGGGTTTTTTAAAAAAAAAAAAAAAAAATTTATTTAAAAAAAAAAAAAAAAGAAAAAAAAAAAGGGCCCCCAACCCCCTTGGCGGAAATTTTTTTGGGGGGCAAACGACCCTTTTTTTGGAAAGACGCGAAGAATTTTTTTTTGCATTTATCAATAAAACAATTTCACAAGAGGGGTTTGTGGGGACTTTTTCTAATAATTTATCTAACTAGTTCTATGGGAATTGATGTGACTTCACCCCTAATGCTACTATCATGAGATACTAAGATCTTGCTGTCTGCCTGCCTGCCACCAAGTTTCATTCAAGAACCGCGGTAGTTGGATAGTTTAGATTCTCCGTAATGGATATTCCTGTTGCTACTGTAAATACATGAAAATTATGGTAGACATATTATTTTTAATTTACTTACGTTTGTGGCAAAACTGTAATATAGGAATATAGAGTATCGATTTTGGTTTTTGTTATAATTGAATGTTCTCTAATTATTAAAGAATTTATGAAATCGATATAGTACTTTTTGGGCTTATCAATCACAAACATATGAGTACTTATTATATATAAATACTATTATAACTTTTTTCTCTATCATGTAAAAAGAAATCTAATTGAAATACATATTTAAGGAGGGTAGGCGGGAGCCATCGGTCTTTACGGGGAGGCAAATACAAATCATCAAAAGTCGGAAAGAAATTGAAAATCTTTTCAAATAAGTGTAAACTAATATATCGCGTTTTAAACCGAATTTTAAAGTTTTTTTCGATTTTTAAATGATATAGTGCTTCATGTAAACAATAACAGTAACATATTTCGTTTTTTCAATCTTAAAACACCCTTCACCTTGTTAGATTAGAGTACACGTGCTTTATATTTCTTTTATAAGGTTCGCTAAAATAATAATTATGTTATAACTTGCGTATGTCTGTACTTACTTACTTGACTTTTTTAGTACTGAATTTTTTAAGAAGAAGTGGACTGTCCTCTTGAGCGTGGAGTTCACTCTATGTTAGTTAATATTCCCCAGCCTATAGCATCTAAACAAGATGACCACACAGAATTATAAATCGAAAAATTAGAAACAGATGGCAGCCACAACCCGTCGATTATTAGCCGTACATGCTACCAACGAGGCCGCCAATTGTACTAAATCAAAGTTAATGTTTATAGGTCCAGGCAGGGGCGCAAGTTGCAATGTGTATCCTCCTCACCTCACCTGTCTTCTTGTCTACAATAATCCTTCACTTCTCAAGTAAGTGATCGACTTGCTGTCGATTTTTCAATTTACGCTTGATAATTATTATCTGTCGAACAGCAGTGTTACAATATATCGTTAATTAAAAACGCACTCCTTTGAGTAATATGATACTCCTGGAGCCAGAGTGCCTAATAACAAAAATATGATTTTCAATAAGGAGGAATATAAAAATGTACAAATAACTTATGTGTAGGAATTATTTTAACAATTTTCGGTCACTGTGCTCTTGTAGATGAGCATTTTAGCTCATAACAATATAAAAAAGTGAAGTTCTAAAATTGCAGTTAGGCTACTCTGGCTTTAGCGGCCTCAGATTATACATATAATATATTTTCAGACCCGGACCATTGCGGAGGACAAACACCAATCGGAAAAATACCACATGTAAACAGGCAGGCATTTATATGGCAGAAAATAGTACCGTTTGCGACCACTAGATTTTTTTTACTTAATTGTTTGTACATGACCATTGGCTGCGTATGGTTCCTAACAAGTGCTTTAATGCTTAACGGTGAGTAATTTTTTTTTGAATATGAATTAACAGTAGTTTTCTTGGGTCTGAATTCGAAAAGCCCCACCTCCTTCCTTGGAATATTATGTATTTGTGACTCCTTACAGGTCGTTTAAATAAATACAAAGTTCAAAAAATATGAATATTAGCAACATGGTATGAGTAAGTTGTGTAAAATAAATAAAATGCACGAGCACGACAGACTGAAGACAGAACGACAAACGACGATGGCACCACTTTTAGGACAGCAAACGCAGGCAACTTGAGGAGAGTGCTGCTGTATGATAGCAAAACGTAGGAAGTCACAAAAGATATAAACCAAAAGACCTAAGTCTACGTGAACCAATGCCTATGGCAGCAGACCATTAGCGCGGTTTGGCTTAAATATGTCCAACAATTGGAAAGATGCTGAGAAAATCTAATACACTGCCAAATAGCGCGTCGCAGGTGGACCCCTACTTACTTCAATGATAAGCAACTCCTTGTTTGACATTGTAGTAAGTTGGGGTTTGCAATTAGTAATTTTCTTAACTGTTATAAATTAATTCGTTTCTTTTTAGTTCCTGCTGGTGCGAAGCGCTTGCTGGTGCGCTGGCCATGGACCATCGTGACTATAGTTTCTTGTGCAGTGGCTGTCGTTTCCGTAATTATCTAGTCAAACGACTATATTTTCACCAAGGTAAGTTATATTTCTTTCTTTGTAATAAGTGCCCTCAACACTCATATTGTTACCGTTAATATTATAAATATGATATTATTAATATACACGCCCACATCAAAACTCTTTAAAAAAATTCATTGTCAAATATCGAACGCTGAGCATAAAGTATTAAGGGTACATAGTGAAGCATTTTTCTGTCGAACTCGACAGAAACTACATCTCTAATCGTGTAAATCGTTTTACTTGTTGACAGTTAAAATCTTATTTTTCTTAAGTATCTTAACGTTTTAAACCTCGTTAAATATTAGTAAAACTTAGGTACTACTCGCGTAAACTACAGACACTATGTAAAAACAAATTGATAAAATACCTCAACTGTATAACATTTAAACTGGTTGGTGTGGCCTATTTTGGCTATAAATCGCGATAGGCTTTTTTAGTAATACTTTTATGTCTATTTATTATTTTTCCGATATCCTACCACTCATTTGATATCAAGATTTCAAGTTCAACATGTTTCGGAAAAATAATAAACTAATTAGAAGCATTGATCACTACACCCTTACATTGCTATCATTAGAAGACCCGACGACAATATTGAACTAATTAACATTTTGCTCGATTCAGGATTCGAACCACAGCCCTCTACACCCAAGAGACACTTATGAAGTATATAATATAGATTGTTCAAAGGTGGCTGAAATATTATAAAACAAGACGATTCCATAAATAGGTACTAACATATAAACTCTTATAAGAGGCAATTGAACGTGAAATCCCGTTTGAACTATTACTGAGACTCACTTTTGTGTCCGTTTTATGTTCAGAATTAAAACCTGTTTTATGTTATCTTTCTTAAATTTTAAATTCAAAAAAATGTAAATCGATTCTCTTACCGATAAACAATATTTCGGTGTTCATTTAAGTAATGTCTGTTGTTTATGCGAGTATCTACTTGAATAAAAACAGTTATAACGGTTTAAAACGCGAAATGTATGTATGTTGTAGTTAACTTATTTTAACTACAACCCGACGTTTTAAAATGCTTGGCAGCAGCTGTATTCCCTCTGTGAGACCTTTAATACAATAAAAATATGTTCACTAATAAAATTTGAGTTTTAAACCGTTGAAAGTGTTTTATTTATTCTATTCGTAAACTACGACCTGACATTTCCAATTCTTTTCAGAAGCTGTGATTCTCCCGTGACGGCGTGACCTCGCAAATACATTTAGAATAAGTTGACTAATATATTCATCGTTTTTGACCGTTAAAAGTGTTTTATTTAATTTGTATAATTTAACGTGCCCGAGGAACCCTGAAAACCCGTGATATTATCACACCATTATGGTGATATCTATCTTGAATGTTTTGTTCTGTATATTGCTGTTCGTGCAACAAAACGTTTTAGGTTCAACTACTAAAAGCGAGCTAACTGGCTCACTGCTACTGGCCTTTACGTAATCGATTATAAACAAAATATAGCACTATCTATGTTATTGACAAGCTGTGTCACGGGCATCTTTAAAAACTAATTACCCACGACGAAGTTAATCAAGTTAAAGGACAGACATGGGAGCTGGAGCATAGTAAAAATACCCCAGTCATATAATATTCTAATTATTTCTTTGCCTTAAGTATTTGGAAATCCACAGACTAAAAAAGTGTGGTTCGTTCCGGACGGAATTTGATACCGTCCATTTAATATTCCAGATTTCCACACGAAGTCGGACCTGACGGGTATATATATACATTGCTAATATTATATCAACAAATCCGTCTATCTTTGGTCTATCTAAGTATGGATATATTTTTTCAATTCGAACCAGTAGTTCTTGATATTAGCACGTTTAAACAAACAAACTTGTCGGCTTATATATTAGTATGGATTATAGGGAACTCGTGCGTTAGTGCAACTCGCGCTTGGCCGTTATTTGTGCTCCGATTTTGTGCGTTAAGCGCTCGTCTTAATCCTCTCTCCGGCGCCGGAGTGGTCACGTGACTTTACGTAATCCGTAATCTGCATTTTTATAGTGTCTCGGAGTATTGTGAAGCGTCTAGAGTATTACTTCGGCCTACATTCGAGGGGAAAATTTGCTATTCATTAATTATATGCATATTAGGTAAACTCTTGCAACGGTTTAAAACGCGAAAAATATTATCATTTTAAACTATGTACCCCTACACTTCGGGAGTACCACATCGCTTCAAAGCAGTTCGTAATGCGTTTTTTATTGAATTAAAATAAAACACTTTTAACGGTTTTATATGCGACATTTGATAGTTCATTTTAAACAACATAAGTCAAGTTATGTCAGCTGGCGACCACACCGCGCAAAGCAGTTCAGTACGCATTTTTATTTAATTTACCTAAATCCAACACTTTTAACGGTTTAAAGCGCGTAAAAGTTTAAATATATTAGTTTATTTTGAACTAAAACGCCATAAAATGTTCGGCCGTGACTACACAATTATAAAGCTTTTCATGAATCATTGCATTATTATTCGCGTTTTAAACAGTTTTAGTTTTAGAAGTAAATTTAATCTAAATAAAGCACGCTTAGCGGTTTAAAACGCAAAATATACATTTTAATTTAACTGCGACCCCACGTTTCGGATGCTTTGCTAAAGCCGTTGTCTAAATAAAACACTTTAACGGTTTAAAACGCGATATATTAGTTAAACTTATTTGAAAATGATTTTTAACTTCGGCCCGACGTTTCGGATGGTTTGCAGCAAGCTAAGTTAAAAATCATTTCCAAATAAGTTTAATTAATATATCGCGTTTTAAACCGTTAAAGTGTTTTATTTAAATGTGTACTACTCGCGTAAACTATAGAGAGTATTTAAAGCCGTTGTCATTTGAATGGACCCTCCACAATGACAAAAGTTACCACATCGACACGTCGGGTCGCAGTTAAAATAAATAGTAAATAAGTTAACTTATAAACTTTAAAAATGGCTGCTATAAGGTGAACTATGAACTTTTATTTTAAGCTAAAAAATTTCTTAATACTTTTTATAAGGATAAAGAATAAGTTTGTAGATTGTAACAAAAATAAGATTTACAAAAAATGCTTCGTCATGTCGGTATATCCAAATGATAAAAGGAAACTGCAAGTCATTAAAGGTCATGGCTATTTGTGTTTATATTTATATTTTTTAAAATCAAATTTTAGGATGGGACCAGAGGGTCCACTCGAATGCACCAACCAATAGTCACACGAGGAAATCGATTATATATGAATAACTAGCTTCCATAATAAAAACGTGTAAAAATCTTTTAAGTAAAACGGTTTGGTTTTTTGTGCACTAGATATTATAAAAAAAAATTGACATAATCATCTTGTTTTACTAGTGTAGCCCTTTCGTTTGATACCCATAGTGAGGGGGTTAAGGAAAAATATGTAATCCGCCATTTTGTTTCGGCGGCCATCTTGTGCTGTGCGTGTACCAAATGTCAGATCAATCTGACAACGGGAAGGTGCTTAAATTTCAATTTATAATTTTGACCCAAATAAATAAATTCCGTATGAGTCGAGCTAAATAAAACCGTTTAAAAATGTACTCCCAGAAGAACAGTTCTTGTGAGTTAATCTGGAAAGATAAACACATACTGTTGCTGATTTTTTTTAGGTTATTTAAAGGGGAAACATTCTTTGATAGATATTTTTTGGGTATCTTAAGCGGTTTTCGCAGCGAGAAAATCTTCGAGGGCTTGCGTCCAAGATGAAAAATTTCCCCGTTTTTCCCCGAAATAAGCGCGTTCAAACAAACAAACTCAGCTTTATAATATTAGTATAGACTATAGATATGTGGGTGGGTCTGTGTGGAAGTGGAATTTCGATACCGTTTTGTAATCTTATTAATTCTAATGGCCATTGGGTCATGTGATTGTTTTATGTAATAATGCTACTATTTTTGGACGGGCTCAATGGCGTAACGGTAGCAATGCATGGTTTATGATCAACGGGTCGCGGGTTCCTTCACCATGGGGTCCAGCTTGTTTTTGAACAATTTATAATTTTGAAAACTTTTTAATTTTTTTACACGTTATTGTTATTGCACATGAAGGCACTACATCGGCATCGTCAGCGTTCCGTGTTGTTGCTCTGTGAACGCTCGGAATGCGGACGATGCCGGTTCAAGTCCTGCCCGAGTCGAAAATTTTTTCAATTTCCATTTTTAAATTTATAATTTTTCTGAAACATGTTGGACTTCGTCTGGAAATCTTAATATTAAATGGGTGGAATTGCGAATATCCAAAGCCAAAAAAACCGTTTCAAAACCGAATTTCAAAACGCAAAATAGGTCAACTATGTCTCTTATACATTTTACGACTCTCTTATCACCTTCCAAGTGAAACACCTGCTTGTCTATCCATTTCATAAAAGTGTTTAAATAAAACACTTTTAACTGTTTAAAACGTGAAGTATTAATTTGACTAATTTCGGCCCGGCGTTTCGGATGCTTTACGTCTGCCGTGGTCACGGGGGGAAGAAGATGGAGGGTGTCCCTCATGTCAAATCAAATGCTACTGCTACGGTAGCACCACCCGTTGCCTTGTAGCTACCAGGCGGTAGTTAAAACAAATATGTATTATTAGTTGATACATTTCGCGTTTCAAAGCGTTAAAAGTGTTTTATTTAAATGTGTACTCCCGTAAACTACAAACAGTATTTAAAAAGGGTTACTAAGGATAATATTTTGTCTCAAAAGGCGTATTATTGTCCGAAGGATTTCTTTAATGACAAGACGGCCTGGCAATGACATGATTGCTCCATTAGCTTATTAAATTCACAAAAATGTATTAGTTTATAAAACATATTTAAAAAAGACGGACTGAGTTTTTTGGGTGTTCTTTTCGGTTATGTTGCTCTTTTGAACACTCTGTAGAATCACGACGGACAGACAGACAAACATTTTTTTACAAATCTAGATAATTTTTGAAATTTTATTTTAATACAGTAAAGGTTTACCACGGCTGCTGCAAAGCATCGAAAACGTCGAGCCGTAGTTAAAATAATTTTCCAATAAGGTAAACTAGAATACATCGCGTTTTAATCCGTTCAATTGATTTTTTTTAAATATTTAAATGTTATTAAGGACTTCTAGTTGGCTCTGCGACAGTTTAAGTACAGCAGTTAAGGGTACATTTGTCAATGTGAACCCGCGACGAATCGATCAATCAGCGCGTTTGATGGTATCTCATAATAGAATATTTAAAAAGCCACAAGTGGACGGGTCGAATTGAACACCGCACGTTTTTCTATTAAACGGCCGTCGGAATAGGTCGACGACGCATCGGTCAAGTGAATAGTTTTAACAACACGCAACAAGCGACAGATTAAGTTTAAACGTGGCAGGTTTTTTATTAAACGAACGTCTAATCCCAAAATAGGTCGACAACAGATCATTCAAGTGAATAGTACATAAAAAAGTCACATTAAGTGGACGGGTAATGGGCCGTTGAACTGTTGTGAACAAAATGTTGAACATAACAAACGTTGCTGGTATAGGACGGCAACACATCATTCTAGTGAATAGTACCTACATTAAGAACGCATAACGAGTGGACAATTCAACTTGAACGCCGCACGCTTTTTTATTTGACGAACGTCTAAACCCGATGAAGTGCAGTTCTGAGTATGGCCGAAAAACCTAATCCCACGTACCGTCAGAGGATGAAGACCAGACCCACGAAAGGAGACACCCTGCTGCAGAGCATCAAAGCTATCACCACGGAGTACTGTAAGGAATCTTCCATTTCTGGACTGAAGCACTTGGTGGGAGATAGAACTCCTTACTTTGAGAAGTACGTATATATATCTTCACTAGCTGCGCTTTCGACTTTGTCTGCGTGGAATAGTTATTTTAGGCGTCGAAATTTGTTTGTTTCTGTTTTCCTATTAGTCACAGTGTGATGTTATGAAGTTTACAACCTCCTTCGATAAATGTCTATCCATACAAAGATATTTTTATGTCGAATCAGTAATTCCTGAGATAAGCGCGTTCAAACAAACAAACAAACTCTTCATCTTCATATATCTAGACTAAAATGACCTTTTAGATTAAAAAAATTCAGTAAAAAACCATTACAGGTAGACGAAGTCGCGGGCAATACACGACCTAAGTTCACGCACGTCGTAAAAAATTTAATTAACACTTCAACGGTTTAAAACTCGATATATATTAGTTTAACTTATTTGAATATTATTTTGACTACGGCTCGACGTTTCGGATGCTTAGCAGGCAAAGTGGCAGAAGTGGTCATGGGGAGTTACTAACCAATCTCACACTCTAGTTAGATAAAATGGGCCGATCGTCTGCGCCCCATGTCCACTCTCACAAAACATATCGATACACATTCGAGATTATAGAGAGCGGCGATAATAATAATTATCCTTTCACATTTGTAACTTGTTTGCTAGAAGTTACGTTGACTTGAAGTTTACTTACATCACCCTAGACCAGTGCTTGCTGTTATGTCACCGGTCTCTTCGAGACATTCCAGCTATTTCCACATCGCTTCCTCGGCTGACGAAAGTTAAATAATATTTTAACGGTTTAAAACGCGGTATATTAGTTAAAAATAATTTTTAAATAAGTTTAACTAATATATCGCGTTTTAAACCGTTGAAGTGTTTTATTTAAATTACTATTCACCATTCATGTTATAAATGAACAATTTGTTGTATAGAAAGCAACTTCCAATTTTTTTTTTCAGCAAGAGCAATATGTACATAATTTGTGAAAATGTTAACTTCGTATACAATAATGTTCTTGATATACAGACAGACATACATCGAAGTTGATCATTGATAGCAAAATGATTAAACGTAGATAAACTAGCATTCTGTTCAAGGCGAGTTCCTGGGTTTGAATCCCGGGGAAACAAATTGTTTCGGTGGGACAGGGCACGGAAGTAGCATCAACTGCTTGCTTGTAAATAAAATCTGGATTCTACTTTAGGTTACTGAACTCTAAGAATTATTGAAGAAATCGCAAACACTGGAGCAAGGCGCGACTTATAGTATTGAAACAAACGTCTGTATCCCGTAACATATTGATCTGTTGTCCACTACTTTAATGACTTAACGTGTGAGCCAGCATTGCTGTTTTCTGTCTTTGTTATAGCAAGTGCTGGTTAAAATCCGGGAAAAAAGATTATTCGGAGGGTATGGAGAGAGCTTTTTTTTTTTTTGTGTAGTGAAAGGGGAGTTGATACGGGGAGACACCAGATGGCGCTAGCGTAGAAAATTTGACTTTGACATTTGGGACACCCTCCGTCTTGAGCTCCCCCTTGACCGCGGCTATTGCAAAGCATCCAAAACGTCAGGCCGTAGTGTATAAAATGACAAATAATTTAAGTAATAAATTTCTGGTTTTAAATTGTTAATAGTGGTTTATTAAATATAAATATCTTCCATTTAGAGATAAGCACCAGTTATTTATAGCTTCTTTCTATACCGATTCTTCCTCTTCCTTTTCAGAGCTATCTGGACCGTCACGTTGATAAGTGCTCTCATATACTCTGTATCGCTTGTGTGGATAACCTTCACCAGATATTACCAAGCCCCTCTCGTCACCACGCAGATACCGGAAGGCGTCTCAGTCAGCAAGATTATTTTCCCGGCTGTGGGCATTTGTACCAACAACAGGATCAGCAAACGAGCGGTCACGGATTTGGCGAGGAAATTGTAAGTGAAACGTCTCTACTCGAATCTATGCGACTGTTGTTTACATTTTTAGACAACTTCTGCAAGAGCCGGGTCCTAGGTTCGACTCGGGAGTACTTTAGGAACGACAGCGACTTCGTTCGCGTAGAATAGTTATTTGGAGCACCAAAATTTGTTGTTGTAAACCTCCTTCACATTTAAATAAAACACTTTAACGGTTTAAAACGCGATATATTAGTTAAACTTATTTGGAAATTATATTTAACTTCGTCTTGTCTCCCCGTGACCACGGCTGCTGCAAAGCATCCGAATCAGTCCCGTCGTTTTTTCAAGGTAATCTTTTAAAATTACTAAAAGTCTCTGAATTAGATGGCCTTGTTTATCGTTCGTAAGGTTGGGAGTTCGATTCCCAGCCGTGCAATTTGTCTAGTTGTAAGAAAACAATCTGAATTCTTTAAATAAAACACTTTAACGGTCTAAAATGCGATATATATCAGTTAAACTTATTCGAAAATTATTTTAACTACGGTCCGACGGTTTGATTCGATTAGTTTTCAAATAAGTTTAACTTTTAAGATGAGAGACATACTGTCGCTGTTTTTTTTCTCATTTCCCACAGAAATTTATAGTCTTCTTCGATAAATGCTCCAACCAACAGTAATCTCAGGACATGCTGGTAATTATTCGTGCGTTCAAACAAACAAACAGTTCAGGTTTATACATTAGTATAGATGTATTATATTTTAGTACAACCTAGCGCGACAGTTAGCTTAAAACGAAGAAAGAAAAGAAATATGTCTGCTTTTTAATTCACAATTTGCCGTGACTATTAACTTTAAGAATCTATTAAGAACCAGACTTTATTTAGCTATATATTATAATTTTCAGACTGCAGGAGAGCCGCAACAGCAAGTACAACGAGCGGCAGATGCTGTCACTTCTCTTCGACTTGGGGCTGCTCTACAACTTGCAAGGGTACAACGACACAGCCGTGGACGTGGTGGCGCTGCACGACGCCCTCGGGGACTACGACGTCAATGACCTGATGAGGAACGTGAGTATAAATTAACTATCGATTATAAATCGAAAAACATTTAACGTTTTATAATCGGGCAGGAAAATTATTATAATCGATTGGTACTTATATAGTGCCAAAGTGCAATAAAATGTGAAAAATATTAAAGTTTTTAGATGTTCAACTTCTTTATTTTTCTTCAATCATTTCATAAGACATTGAACCTTAATTCGCAATAGTTAAGGTCGAAATTACATTGCGCGGATGGATGTATCATTAGCTCAATTAGTTAGAGGAACAGCACGGAACGCTGTTAACGCCTGTTCAAGTCCTGCCCGTGTCGTAAATGTTTTTTAAATCGATTTTTAATTTCTATAATGCCATCATGTGAACATTATGAAAGTAACTATATTTCGTGTTTACCACTAAAACTGTTATTATACAAACCAGTAATATATTAATATTACGAATTATATTAATTTATAGTAATCTATACTCATATTATAAATGTGAAAGTAACTTTGTCTGTCTCTCTGTCCTTCCGGCTTTAACGCCAAAACTACTGCACTGATTTAAGATAAAATTTGGTACACAGATATTTGGCCTGAGAAAGGACATGGGGGGGGACTTTTTGCCAATAAAGAGTTGTTAGGGGTTGAAAAGGGGGATGAAAGTTTGTATGGAAATTCGTGATTTTTGAAGCTAGAACAATGAAACTTTCGCTTTTGGCTTTTTGGAATGGAAGTGAGAGTGGGAGTTAGATTAGGAGTGATGTGAGGTGACAGTGGGAGTGTTGCGGCAAAGTAGCACTTACTAGTTACACAAGATTGGTAGCCATGAATGCGCCCTTTTATAAATAAATATAGAGCCTGAATAATTAAAAATTCTACCCAACGTTACGGTGGACTCAGCTAGTAAAACAATATTGAATTTATCAAAGAATAATTGTTATCAGCATATTGTTAACAAAGTCTAATTAGCGCGATCTAACAACGTAACATATTTACAATATTTTTTCAGTTGACCCCCAAATGCGAGGACCTACTGTTGCGCTGTTCCTGGAACGAGGAGGCGAAGAACTGTTCTGAACTCTTCGACTTTCGCTTGACGATGAACGGGTATTGCTGCACTTTCAACTACCTTCGCAGTTCGGACGCGACCTTTGAAGAGTAAGTAGTTTTCTAAATTAAAAGTCAATAATAATGAATTGAAAAAAAAATACCACTCGGGACTTGAACCGACATCCACAGGGTTCCGTGCTCGTGGTCTAATCAATAGAGCTACCGAGTCCAAATGCATTTTTTCACCCAACAACGCTGGGACATCGTTTGTACATTTTGGACATGATAATTTTCAGAATTCAAATCAAATACTGTCTGTACTTTACGCACATAGTACACATTTAAATAAAACACTATAACGGTATAAAACGCGATATATCTTCGTTAAACTTATTTGAAAACTAATCGAATCAAACCGTCGGGCCGTAGTTAAAATAATTTTCGAATAAGTTTAACTAATATATATCGCATTTTAGACCGTTAAAGTGTTTTGTTTAAAGAATTCAGATTGTTTTCTTACAACTAGACAAATTGCACGGCTGGGAATCGAACTCCCAACCTTACGAAGAATAAACAAGGCCACCTAATTCAGAGACTTTTAGTATCGACGTAGTTAATTTAACTATCGTGAGTTTGATTTTCAATCTCGAGCTGAATACAGGTTTCCAGACGAAATCCAACATGTTTCGGAAGAATTATACATGAAAATTAGAAAAATTTAATATTAAAATTGGTTTGGGATCGAAGCCACGACCCGTTATTAGACGTACATCGCTATCACTACACCAACGAACTTGTCCAGTGCTTGTCCGTCCCTCTCTATCACCGAATAATCTAATCCTGCCTTCTTCCAGAAACAACGAAGCCAGAAGCACCGATATGTACATGTACGGGAACAAGTCGAGCTTTGACTTCGATCAGGGGTTGATGGTGCTGCTCAAGCTGGAGGAGCATGATGATTTCTTCTACAACATGCCCCTGCGAGGCGCGCAGGTAACTTAACCGGCAAAATGTACGCACGACAGAAAATATACATTTTGTAATCTATTCTTATTGACTTATTGACACCATGCTTATAAGATCTCAACAAGATGCGGTGCGCAACTATTTTGGGTTTGGATTTTTGGGTATTCGGGGCAATAGGAGTTAATCCGATTTCTTCTTTATTCTCTGCTTCGTAGGTAGCTTAAAATTTAACATAATTCAAATGTTAAAAATGTTCTTATGTTAACTGTCGGTCTCTGTTTGCAGTCTCATCTCTGGCATTTTATTAAATAAAATAATTAATAAAACTCTTGTAACGGTTCAAAACGCAAAATACATTAGGTAACTTGTTTACAAATTATTTAAAGTGCGACCCTACCTTTCGCATGCAAACGCCGCAGTCACGGGCGGTCCCCCTACTTTGAAGCGTTAAACTGTTTTTATTTAAGTGTACACTACTCACACGAAGTGTGGACAATGCATAATTATAGAATAAATACTGTCTGTAGTTTACGCGAGTAGTACACATTTAAATAAAACACTTTAACAGTTTAAAACGCGATATATTGGTTAAACTTATTTGAAGATGATTTTCAACTTCGGTCCGACGTTTCTGATGGTTTGCAGCTGTCTTCCCGTGACCACGGCTGCTGCAAAGCATCCGAAACGTCGGGCCGAAGTTAAAAATCATTTTCAAATAAGTTTAACCAATTTATCGCGTTTTAAACCGTTAAAGTGTTTTATTTAAATTATAAAATATCTTGTTTGTAAAAAAAGTGAAGACTTTTCTTATATGGGACATACTTTTGTGTCCGTTGCGCTCGTTTTTACATAGACTTATGCGCTTAAACTATTTATCTATCTCCCTAAATTTTGAACCCGGAACTTCTTGCTTTCAGAACTTTGTGGTATACATGATTTCAGTTACAATTCTCGGACGCCTACGACTTCCCCGACGCGCCCAGTGGGAGTTTCTCCATGCAAATTATATGCCCTCTAGTACACGTGAGTATGTCATATTAATTACTAGCCGTAAAATAGTTATTTCAGGAGTTAAGTTGAGAGTGAGGGCAGAACGCTTTTTAAAAAGAGATGTTTTTATTTAGATTTACATATAAATAAATAAAAATATACATATACAGAAAAATAAAAATATATAAATAATAATAATATATTTATATACATGTACTTTCGAAGACTTTTTTTTAATCATTGAAAGAAGAATCATTCTCTTATATTTTTTTTTTGTGTTTCTCGAACCATTTTCGCAGCGTACGAATAATTTTCCCCGTTTTTTACTGCATTTTCCGCTGTTTATTTATTAGTCAAAGGGCGATGTTTTATACCCTATAAGCTTCCTCGATAATTGCTCTAACAAAAAAAAAGAATTCTTCAAATCGAACCGGCAGTTTTTGAGATTAGCGCGTTTAAACAAACAAACTCTTCAGGCTTATATAGTATAGCTGTTACCTACGATGTCGGTCGCGTCCCGTCGTTCTTGCAAGTTAATCTTAATAGATAGACATATACTTCCGCGGATGTTTTTAGATCATATCAAGAAGAATCATTCTTTTGTACTTATTTTTTTTTTTGGGTATCTTGAATCGTTTTCGGATGCAACGTAACCCTCAAAGTTGTATATCTTTCTCCTTTTTTTTTTTTTTTTCCCCCCCCCCCCCCCAACCGGGGGTTTTAAACCAAAACCCCCCCCCGAAATATGCCCTAATTAGATCTTATATCGAACCAGTATTTGCTGATATTAGCGCGTTCTAACTCAGCAACTTATTAGTTAAATCAGCCGCGGTCACAAGGGGGGCTGAAAATGGAGGGTGTCCCTAATGTCAAAGTCAAATCTTCTGTGCTACCGCCATCTGTTTCGCTCTAGTTCATTATGGACCGTTGTAAAACAAATCGTAAATATATTTCTCGTTTTAAACCGTTAAAATATGTATGTTTCCGAATTCGCTTCCAGATGACGGTAATGGTAACTGCGAGTTTCACGGAGGCGTCCCGCGACATCCAGCACGTGGCGGTGAAGCTGCGGAACTGCCTGTTCTACGACGAGTCCTCGTACCTGCCCTTCTACACGCACAGCGACTGCCTGCTCAAGTGCCGGATGACCTTCCTCACGAAGCGGTGCAACTGCACCCCCTTCAACATGCCCAAGGTCAAGGACGCCAGGACCTGCAACCTGAGAGACGTCCCTTGCCTGTCCCTATATAACGGTGAGACCAAAAACTGTCTTCCGTTTCCTGGGCATGGGGCGAGCACTTATTTGTGTCCGGTTTAGTCGTCAATAATAACAAGTAGCTGATCCGACTTCTGTGCCCTGCCCGACTTATTATTACCGGGATTCCAACACAGACCTCTTCACAACGGTAATTCTAAGCACTACTTTCAACCAGCTACGGAGACGATGAACTCACTGTGTTAATTGTAATTTAATGTTGAAGACAGACGAGATTCGAACTCATGATCGCAACGAAGTGAGAAGAAAGTGACATAAAGAAGGAGGAAATGTGTTTAGATAAAAATTTATTAAAGTATAGACAACTTAATTTTCGAATATCCAACGCCGAAAAAGTCGATAGCGCATCTTATTTCTATGGCTGGGGTGCTTCATCTATCATTAAGTAAGCTCTATGCTTATCTGACCTTCTCTATCATAAAAAGTGTACGCTGCTGCAAAGGATCCGAAACGTCGGGTCGTAGTTAAAATAATTTTCAAATAAGTTAAATATAGTTCCCTTTTAAGCCGTTAAGTGTTTTATTTAAACGTGTACTGCTCACGTACTGTATTTAATGTATAATTTTGATAACATCTTATGCGAGATAATTCCTAGCCATTACTTTTACACTTCAGCTCAAGCCATCAACGTGCGACCCGACACCGACGAAGTACCATCAGAACTGGAGCTGGATCTGGTGTCCGGGGGCATCCACTGTCCCATGTGCTATCCGACGTGTTCGAAGACCGCGTACAGTTACGACTTCACCAATGTCCATATCTACCCGGATGACCATGAGAACGCGACGCCGTCCAAGGACAAGAAAGACTGGCTGTGAGTGAGATTATCTATTCTTCGTCTGTGGTTTACGCGAGTAGTAGGTACACACTTTATTAACACACTTTTAACGGTTTAAAATGGGATGATTAGACAAACTTATTAACAATTTGTTGTTGGGCCCAACACTTGGACATTAGGGACACACTTCATCTTTAGGCCCCCCCTGACCACGGTTGCTACAAAGTATCCAAATAAGCGTAACTATTACATTTGGTGTTGAAACTGTTACATGCATTATTTAAACCCTTTTTATGATACAGAAAGATAGACAGTCGTAAAAGCGATACAAAATGCGCTGTGGACCCCTCGTGGCTTTGGATATGCGGTCATTCACAGAAATCGAAATATGATTAAACTTCACGGCATTTCTAATTTGTTGATGGTGGAATTACGATATTTACACCTCGCACTGTAATATCCAGATTTAATGATTAAAAAAAAATACGATAAAAGCTTAATAATTTATTGTCAAAGCACAACAGGACAAACCAGCTCATGGTCTAGCGACGTATCTCGAAGGTCCTGAACGCGTAACCGTCGATCTGTCCCTCGTTCCGGAACGTCGCTTTGTCAATTTTCGACTTCGGACTGCCCACTTTCTGGAGCCAGAGCTTCATGTCTTCAACGGCATTCGGCGGCCCCTGCAGCTGACCCACCACTGTGCCCTGCGCGGTGTTCATAACCCAACCCTTGAGGCCCAGTTCCGTGGCTCTCTTCTGGGTGTGCTTGCGAAAGTACACGCCCTGTACTTTGCCGAAGATCTCGAAGTCCGATGTGAATAATGGCGGTTTTTTTACACTAGCCATTATTTATACATTCATTTGTAAATGTTTCATGTCATCATAAGTCATGAAGCGTTTGTTTATTTACGTTGTTACGAAAATCAGAGTCTAGCAACGAGGCTCATATCGATTAAACTTTTTTTATAACATATTACTCGTAAAGTAATTACTAGTGATGCAACGGATAGTTGTTTGGCTCACGACTGGCCGAATATCCGGTATCCGGCCGCCGAATATTCGGCCAGCCAAACGATACCTATGTATACAAATTTTAGTTTGGCGGCGCGCGCCTGTTACGTATTGTTCTCTCTTTTTATTTATATATGGTAACTCTTATTTTATTTGATTAAAAATTAACATACGATACGCTACCATTGGTTGAATGGATTTTGATAAGTTTAAATTGTACGTTAAAACTAATAAACGAATGAAAACTTTATTATTTTTTACATATTATTGCACATGAAGGCACTATATAAGTTAAAAATCGAAAAAAAATTGTAAAAATTTTTGACTCGGGCAGGAATTGAACCATCAGCGTTCCGTGCTGTTCGACGATTTCTTAAGCTGCAAATCATAAGACGTTGAACCTTAATAAACAAGTGTTAAGGTTGAAATTACATTATGCGATAGGTGCATGTATCAATAAGTTGAAAAAATTCAACGATGAGGTGTAGGACTTGGTAGCTCAATTGGTAGAGCAACAGCTCGGAACGCTGACGATGCCGGTTCAAGTTTTGCCCGAGTCGAAAATTTTTTCAATTTATTTTCCATTTTTAAACTAATAAACGAATATTGGTAATTTATCAATTATCAACAAATTATCAGTTTTTGTAGTATACATACTAAAATTTTTCAAAGTTAAATAGAAAACAGAATCACTATTCGGTATTCGGCCGGATAGGCCGGATACCGAATAGTAACCGGATATCCATTGCACCTCTAGTAATTACACCAATTTCAATATCGTAATGTATCTCATTACGTACTTGTGCGATAATGTAATGTAAAAGGCACGTGTTCTTTTTCTTAGCAAAGACGTTTTATGTCAAGAAAGTGGTCAATATTTTGTTATATTTTACAAATAAACATTTAATTCTTTATTTATATAATTTTGACAATAAATTACAACCATTTATCTATAACAAAAACACAAAAATATTAATTTACTTTATTAGTAATACTGGCTGTTTTTGTACCTTTGCCTAAAAAAACGTTGATGCGCGCGTATCGCTTATTTGTGGACAAGTAAAAATAATTCCGCGCGCTTTTTCTTTTCGCTGTATTGTTTTTATTTGAAAATGTCGTCATTTCCTCGTAAATATGTTATAAAACGTCGTATGACATATGTGCGCTTTGAAAATTACAGCCTCTGCTTTCTTATAGCCCTCGCCGATGGCTCGTCTCGGCTGTAATTTTCAACTTACCGCACTTATATCATAATGTACTATTATGACACACGATGACAGACGAGCACGGGGTCCAGTCGATGGTGAAATGTCCGAGCCACGTAACATCTAAACGGGATGCGCTGTTATACTGTTTTTGCTTCGGATGTTGGGAAATTTCACTACTTTATTCAAGGGTTTTTCATGTTGCATTTTAACTTGAATCTTTAATATTCTAGAAGTTACTAGTATCTCTAAATATTGAAATTGGAAGACGTTCACCTTTTCCAGACGAGGCGCGAACTTCTCCGGAACATCCATGCTGCACGTGAAATACGCGAGGGAAGTGGCCGACTGTTATGGGCAAAATGTCATCATGCAGTGGTTCGATTTGATCAGTGAGTGTCTTTATTTCGCCTATATTGTCTGTAGTCTGCGTAAAGCCATCATCACCAGGGGCTGCTGTAGAGCATCCGAGCAGTCTGTATGAAATATCTTCATTAATAAACTAGTTTAAGAAAACGTGTTCAACGTTTTAAAACGCGATTATAAAAATCTACAAGTTAGCTTATTTTTATTTATTTCGGATTTTTTTGCAGCAGTCCTGGTCACGGTGAGAGACGTATTTCGCGTTTTATGAGTCTTTTATTTAAATGTGAACTCGCGTAAACTACAGACAGTACTAAAACTAATTTATTTTAAAAGCCACTAACACTAGCCGCTTTTCAAAATGGCCGCGAAGCCTTAGACGACTTTTTTACAGGTAACATTGGCTCAACGTGCGGCTTCGTCACCGGCTTTAGTTTCGTCTCTGTACTGGAGTTTGTCTATTTCTACACGGTGAAGCTGATGCGCGACTACATGAGACGCCGGCGCAGAGAACGACGCATCGCGAGCGGCGCGTCCACTCCTGCGCAGTTCCACGTCAGCAGATACAGGCCGATCTATTGGAACGAGATCGGCGGTTCAGTGAGATCTTATAAGCCGGATTGAATCTCTAGTATTTATATTTAGACTAATTATTTTGTGCGCCAACTTATACATTGAAACGGTTTTATAGATTTTCATAAATGTTGTATTAATAGAATAGAACAGAAATACATTTAAATAAAACACTTTAACGGTTTAAAAGGCGATATATATTAGTTAATTTAAAAGTTTATCAATATATATCGCGTTTTAAACCGTTAGTGTTTTATTTTAATGTGTACTACTCGCGTAAACTACAGACAGTATTTAGAAAATACAACAAACGACAACAACATCATTTTAATTTTAAGGGAGAGTAATCTATTTACCTATTTATAAAATTATAGTTTGTTATAATTTTAATGTACAACTGTAATTCTGTTAAGTGTGTGTAAGTTTGATAGGAAATTTTAAGACAACCCCGGTTGCGTTAGCTCGGCCTCTGAAGGGTAGCAACTATATTGATTCTTCAATATAGTTAAATAAGTTTAATTTAAATTTTTATTTACTTCTGCCTATTGTTTAAAAGATAAGGTTTTAATTTTAAATTTTGTTCTGGATATACAAATATTAAGTTAATTAAATTTTAAAGAAATTAAAGAAAATTACTTACTTACATTTTATATCTTATGTTATTCAATATATTGCCTTACGTATGACTTACATTCTTACATAAGTAACTTTAGTGATATGTTACTACATAAAAAAACTTACAGTATTATTAGGTGCAGTTATTATTAGGTAGGGTTAGGTATTTATGCTTATTATTTCACAAACCAAAGAAGTCTGTAATAATTGTTAAATTGTAGTATATTGGTTGAAAGTTTTTTTGCGTTAAACTTATTTAACCATAAACTTATACAATATTACGTAATACGTTTTACTAAAAGCTTATGTGCGAAGAAATACCTACATATATTCTTCAGATGTCAAGAATATCTATCTAAATAACAAACCGTGTTATTTGTGTAGTTCGTGAATCCTTCGAAACCCTTGGTTTTGACTGACACATCCGATTTTATTTATCTTAAATACATTGAAGAAATATCGTTTTTAACTATTGTCCTTGTACACTTAGTAAAGATAGAAAGATAGCGTTAGGTAAATTGCAACACGTAATAACAGTAGTTTGAATTATACTCTCTTATATTCTAGAAAATAAAGTGCGCAATCGAAAAAAATTCTAGTTTTATTACCATAATAATACAATAAAACTTCTTCATGCGTTTGAAACTTAACGGCCGGTGAAAAGCATAAAAAAAAAATTACTTAGGTATGTATTTCGCGTTTAGATTCGTTAAAATTATTTTTTTTAACCGATTATCGCATAAACTAATAACTTTAAGTACTGTCTGTAGTTTACGCGAGTATGGGTCGCGGCACGGATGTTTAGCGCTGAGCGAAGTATAGTGGGGAACCAATCAACGCTAGCGCACATGAGTTCCTTCTGACTTCTGAGGATTCTTTCAGCGTTAAAGATCCGTGCCGCTACTTACTAGTATAGTAGAATACTTAAATTGTAGTAGCAGTTTTACATGACAGAAACGGCCCCTTCTTCAGTACCCTCATGACCACGGCTGCAAGATACGTAGCGCCGTAGTTACAATGAGTTTAACACATTTCCCGTTTTAAACCGTCAAGTGTTCTAATTTAGACTCTAGTTCACAATGTACTTCGAAACAATTTCCTCAAAAATACCTAAAACTTTACCCTTATAGTTATCGTCATTTAGCAGCATTTCACTTAAAAACTTCGCTTTATCCCTCGAAAGGATTTCATCGAAGTTCTTCGCATCCGTGAATATTTCAGTTGTTACTTCATCATCCATCCATGTCTGAGGAATCAGACACGCGCTGGTAACCAGACCCCAAAGACGGTACTCCTCAGCGGAGCGGTAAAGGTCCTCCAACGTCAAAATGCTATTGACAGAAACGTCAAATCGTTGTAAAATCGAATCCAGTTCCAAGTGGTAATGGTCGAGAAACTCCTCGAGTTTCCCTTCGCGGAGCCCTGGATCTAAATTGCAGTACAGCAGCATCATGATATCACCAGCCGGTGGATGGCAGCGCGCTGCCTGGAAGTCTACCAACAGGCAGTCGTCAGGTACGCCCTCCACATAATGGAAAAGCAAGTTGTTATTCCACAGATCTCTATGGCATATCACGTTTCTGTACTTAGACGAGAAATCTGATAGATCCAAAGCCGCCTTCCAAAGGTCCGGCCACCGCTGGACACACGCATCGATTATGTCCTTACTTTCCGCGTATTTGGAGTGGTGGGTCACGGCGTTCAGTGCTCCTAGCATGCACTGCTGGAACCAGGTGTTTGTCATCTTGTATCCCGCTCTCCTTAGATCTTGGGCGTAGTCTTCGTTGATGCTGTAGGGGCGTTTCAGTTCTTTGGATCTCTTTTCTTCGTAGATGATTGTGGATGCGTGGAACCTAGCTAGTGTGCTTAAAGCTTGCTTGGTGTGCGCCTCGTCCAACGTTTGGAGTTTGTTATGCATTCTGTATCCGCGGGTAATGAGGTTTTCAAACACCATTGATTCGTTGAATGCTGCGATTAGTTTGGGACTCCATGGCTTTATTCCTGAAAAGTAGTTTTAGAATGAGGTTATTTAGTACCACGAAGGCTTTATTACCACGACTGCTGCAAAGGGTCCGAAAAGTTTTTATTCGCGATACATAAATCACTTTTTTTTCAATCCAAATCCTTTTTTTATCCTTTTTTATTTTCTGAAGCGGCAAAGCATAACACATTGAACCTTCATACGTTTTAAACCGTTAAATGGAGTTTTATGGGATACTGCTCGGGTTTAACGTTTTGAAGAGAGACGATAGTTTCGAATTTACTTACAAAGAATATACGAAATAACCATAAGTTTTTATAATCGATTTTAAATTGAAAAAAAAAAATACGTTACGGGCCGGTTTTGAAGCAGCATCAACAGCGTTCCGTGCTGCCCTAACCAATTGAGATTGTCCTATACGTCATCATCGCATTTCTTCAACCTACTAATAGAAGCACCGCTTGCGCAATGTACACTTATAATACTTAAACGGTTTAACGGTTTAAAACGTGATGTTTATTAGTTTTTGAACATTAAACCTACGATACTGACTGTACTTGAGAATAAATTCTAATATCAACATACCGGTCACAAAAATGTCCTCCTTGATATCTGTGTAAAATATGCATTCCTTATCGAAAAGCTTCATTTCTTTAACCATGTCTGCGGCGTTCTTTGATATGCACTTCACGAAACAGTCCATCACGAGCTCATCACCGTTGATCATCACCCATATTCTTAAACTCAGGTAGTCGCAAAGGAAGCCCAGCATGTTCTTGCTGGCGAACTGTATGCTGTACGTCTGAAGAATTGCATTCTCACGCTTAAAATATCTTCCAACCACCAGCCTAACATCTTCTTCGGTTATATAACTGTTCATTCTTAACAATAACTAGACGATTGTAATTAAATTTATGTGAGCGTAACGCAGTTCTTGTTGTTTGCAAAAGCTTTGAGTTTAAAATGTTGTGTTGTGTACCTAATGATATACAAAAACTAAACAAATATATTAGATAATTCTTATCGATGTTTAATTAGTTTTAAAGAGCGTGAGTGGTAGACATAAATGAAACGCTTTGAAGTGTTTAAAACCTGTAATATTTCGTACATCAATCAAACGTTTTGATTTTGCCCCTAATCTTGTCACCTTTTTTAATACAATGTGGCTAGGGGTGATCCGAGTATGCAAAATTTCATTAAAATCTGTCCAGTAGTTTAGGTGCAGGAATCATTTTCATTGCCATGTATTAGTTTCAAAAAGGGTTTTAAAATTTAACGACTTTTGCGCTATTTACTATAAGAAAAACCAACTATATTTGGAATTTTAATTGTTTTGTTTGTTATAATTTCGCGTTTAAAACGGTTTCATTTAATAATTAGTATTTGTCGATTGCTGGCAGGACGTATCTCTCAACAATGTCATCGAACAATTCGAGAATACTATCACGATATTGCTGATCTACCAGCGATTCAATGAAGCAATGGCTTCTCGACACGGAATCAAAGTTCTTATCTCCACTCTTGCAGTATTTGTCTTTTATCTCATCTGGCATATTCGCTATCGGCAGAATCAGGGCTGCTTGGGTTATACCAAAAACTGTACTATTCTCGTAGGCTGCTCCCAGTTCCTCTCTACCCATAAACTTGGAAACATCAATTCCTTCACCTTCCAGAACGTTACTTAAACAATAGTAATAAATATCCAGCATTTTACGAGTGAAATCATTTCGAAATTTTTTAGTCGTATTTATGAACAGCAAGGCAGCCAGATCGAGCGCGGGGTTCGTGTACAGCGCCGTCTGATAGTCTACGATCAGCGCATGTTTGTTTCCACCAGGCATTGTCTTGAACAACACGTTATTAGACCAGACATCACGGTGAACGACCACGTTGGGGTACTTGGAACTTGGAGTCATTGATGCTGTGGCTTCCTCAAATAGGAGAGTGATGATCTCTTCGGCTGTTGTGGAGAAATTCTTCAGGTCCTTGTAAGTTGAGTAGATCTTTACAAGGTCTATGACTCCGTTGCGCCCGGTGTCCCGCCACGATTGGCTTGTGGCTGGTTCGATTAGGAATTCTGAAAAATCTTCCCATATTTTGTAAGATCTCTCCAATTGTTTTGATCTCTTGTTTTCGTAGATCACGGACTCTGCGTGAAATTTGGCGACGGCTTCTACTGCAGCGACGGTTTCGTCGTGAGTGAACGGCTTTCGGCAGTCGGACGTCGCATATCCTGCTTGTGTGATGTCTTCGAAGACTAGCACTTCTTCTCGTGAGTGGAGTAAAGTAGGCCGCCATTTTTTGAGACCTGTAACGAATCACATTTCAACGTTCAACATTTAATGTGTTCTTGGTTTTATTCTTTTACCTTTTTGTTACTTACAAAAAATACTATTCAAAGCTTTAAGCTTGAAAAACAATGTGGCACTGACAGGATCCGAATCTCGCTTAACAGCATGCTCTGGGTCCTTCACTTCGATACCCGGCCGTGTTTTTTTGAGCATATTTATTTCATTTAAATTGGTTTTTATATTTACAAAATTTATGATAGTGGAAGTTGAACCGGTATCTACAGCGTCTTGAACTGTCGTGTCTACCTACTACCTTCCTACCTAGCAGCAGCACGGAACGCTGCTCCTCCCGGATGCCGTCACGTCTCGCCCATGCCTAAATACCTGTGAAACATATTAAAGTTTAAATAACTTTAAATACTGATCTCCTACCTTCTCTTTCCGGAAATTGACTGAACAAAGAGCTCAAGAGCACAAACTCTTTCCGGAAGAAGCCGTTGTCTCTCAAGTACTGCGCTTTGTAGACGTCGAACCGCGGCATACACTTGACGAACAACACGACTTGCTTCTCTTCTCCTCTCTTCGTGACCTTGAGGTGCAGCCGCAAGTGCTCGCCCAGGTAACCAACGAGCTCGCTCGAGTATTTCCGAAGGTCGTGCTGGACTGTATCGCGGTCCAGGCCGCATTTTGCAGCCAGTTCTTTCAATTCGTCTTGACTGAGTAGAGGCATAGTTCAATTTGAAACAGAGCGTCTTATCTTTTGTCGCTTTAATTGCACTGATATTAAAAGTCAATACTGACGTAGGAACGCGGTAGCAGATTTCGAGTGGTTGCTTGGCTTGTTGGTGTAATGGCAGCTATATTTGGCTAATCAACGGGTCGTGGGATTATCAACAGGATTTTATGCAATATGCAATAAATTAATTTAGCATGTTGGGTTTCATCTGGCTCCGATATTAAATGGGTGGTGGAATATCGAACCCATTTCGATAGTCTGTGGATTATGATTTACGAATATTCAAGGCATACAAAATAGGTAGACAGCGCGTCTTGTTGAGATGTACTATGGCTGGGGTTGATCACCTTCCATTAAGTGACCCAATGCATACCTTTGTTTGTTTCCGCAATCATAAAAAATAACGGTTTAAAACGAGATATTTATTTGTTAATGAGGTACTAGTTAAAAAAGTCATAGATATGTTTCTCGTTTAAATCAGTTACAGGTGTTTCCATACATACTGCACGCGTAAACCACAAACAATAGGTAGACGTCGTGTAGAATTTACACGTAGTTTAATTTTCTCAAAACTATTTTAACGGTTCAAAACGCGACATATATTAATTCGGTTGCTTTACGTTGGAGGACGCGATTACCTTGTCAATAGGCTGACCGAACAAATATATGCGTTTTAAACCGTTAAATGTGTATTACTCGCGTAAATTAGATAATAGGGAGAAGTAAATAATGCAACTTTAGTCATATTATTTAATTTCAGTAACAAAAATAGTATGAACAAAACTCGTCTCACAAGCCAAAGACCTCTTTGGTCGTTTCAAAGTCCAAAATATTCTGGTCTAGAACCCTTTGCAGTTTCTTATTCTTAATCGTGTCGTAGTCCGCTTTGCACAGCTGTTCCGGCTTCGGGACCTGGACCTTGGGCGCCTCTTCATCGTCACTTGAAGAATCTACCTCCATTGGAGCGTCCTCTGAGGATTCTGCTTCTTCCACCTCCGCGTATCCAGATATCAGTTGGAGGAAGGATGTGCTTAGCATTCCCACTGGTGGGATCATGTGTGGTGCTCCTGATAGGAACTGGAAATAAAAAAATGTATAAATAAAACACTTTAACGGTTTAAAACGCGATATATATGAGCGAAACTTGTTTGAAAAATATTGTAACTCTGACGACTCCGACGTCCGAAACGTCAGACCGTAGTTGAAATAATATTCAAATAAATTTCAACTATATATTCGCGTTTCAGACCGTTAGTATTTTATTTAAATGTTATACTGTAAAACTACGACAGTATTTAGAGGAAGATATAATTTTTTAGTTAGATTTTTCTGTAGATATGTGTACTCGAAAACTGAAAAGACTCGACCAATTTTGATGAACTTTATGTAGAAATGATTTTTGACATAGTAAGTATACAATTTTTTTTTTTATTACTAGGGCTTCGCTATCTGTCTGTCTGTCACCAGGTTGTCTGAAGAACCGTGATAGAATAGTGAATACATATACATTATTTTTTGTATTCGCAAGTAGTTTTTGTATGTCCTTTTCTTAACTACTTTTTTTTTTAGTTTACACTATTACTATACATTTAAATACTAACGGTTTAAAACGTGAACTGTATTAATTAATTTTGTAAATGAATAACACACACTGCGTTTTGACCTTATAAAACTTTTATATTTTTTTATTTAACTATGGACTATTATATATATGCTTTGCAACAGCCGAAACCACAAACTTTACTTACACTTTTGGTTTAAATGTGTAACTACCCCCCCCCACCTTTCGCGCCTTCAAATTAACCCTTTTTAAACAGTCGAGTTCCTTAACTATTCTCATAGTTCTAGTTACCTCAGAGACTGCTCTCCCCGCCAGACTGTCCGTGTTGATTTGCTGCACTTGGCCAGCCGACGTGGCTCTGACCTCTGAGACTTGCTGCTCAGCAAGAAGTAAGCTGAACTTGGACTTGGGGACGTTTCTGTGCGATATGACTTCCAGCTTCGCCTCGGCAGTCTTCTCCGGCTCGAGGCAGTATAGCTCCTGCAACACATAAATCCTTAGGTCACTTCACTAAGCAGCGCGGTGGATTATAGGGCATTTATAAGCAAGTGACGTCATAATCCCGACCGAAGAGGTGCGTTTTGTGTGACGTACAATTAATAAAATATAATGAATAAATCATTTATTTATTTATTAAGTTAAATATAACTGAATAATTTTTAATTAACTCCGTTTCGTTGGTTTGAGAAGATTTAATGCGCCAGCGCACACTGTAGCGAGTTCAATTAACACTAACCCAAGGTAACCCACCAGACAAGGAATATTTGCTCTAAAAACATATACAATTCGTAGCAGTAAATAGCATCGCCAAAATAGGTCAACAGCGCGTCAGTCACCGAAGGAGCAGCTCACCGAACTATTTCTCATGAGGTACAGTCTTATGTCGGCCCCCGAAGAGTTTCCGAAGGCGCAGTGGGTGAAGACTCCGTCCTGGGGGTTGAGGATTCCCTTCTTCGAGAGTACTGGGGTCGACTCGTGCGGGGTGAATATGTGAACTGGGGAATGAAAAACAAACAGACATATTTTTGTGTTCGTTTAACTGAAATTTATGTAAAAATTGATCAAACTTCTGTCCCCTGCTCGATCAAAATAGATAGATAGCCTAACGTTATCTTTTCGTAGTCAAAAAACAATTTAATAATCCTTTTCGCGTTTTAAACCGTTAAGTTTAAATATCGCCTGTAGTTTACGTACACTTGGGAATGAAATAATTTTGAACGTTTTAGACCGCGAAATAGATCGGTAAGTTGGCCGCGGTCACGATGACCTAATACTTGTTAGGTTTTAAACCGTTAAAACTGTTTTATTAAAACGTTAATGCTTTTTATAATATATTTAGTAGACTGTACCCGGACATCAACACACACCATCATTATCCTTATTGACAACCGCCATTTTGTTGGAGAAGGGATCGGCGACCAGGCAAGTTGGACTGTTCTGGACGATGTAGGTGACGGTCAGAGACAGAAGGCTCCAAACAGCGAGGCAGGTCTCCGTGGTGCACGCCAACTGGAAGTCACATCAGCTAAAATCAATGACCACAGCGTATGCGATTAAAGATATTTCACGGCTTGGGTTACGTCACTGAGGTTTTAGTAAGGAACCCTAATCTTTTCTCTCACTATAGCTTGTGTACTCGAAGTAAATGTAGCTTTCTAATGGTTAAGCCATTTTTTTAAACACACACACACTAAAGATGGTGTATGTGTATTTACACAACCAAACCCAGTTGTGTAAATACCAATACACCATCCATACCATCTCTCCTCTTTATAAAAAGTGTAGATAATCTCTTGTAACAATATAACTTATGTTACTCAATGTAGCTTTCTAATGGTGAAGGATTTTTTTCAAACCCACACACAAAAGATGGATATGAGTGTGTATACATCTATATATCTGTATACACACACCATACATGCCATGTTTCCTCTTTAAAATAAGTGTAGATAGAACTCCTATTTTCCTACAAAATTTTGAATGGGTGAGATTTTTAAAAGTTTTTAAAACAACAGCACACAAAATGGCATGTACGGTACGGTGTATGTACAACCATACCGTCTTTCCCTATCGTAGTTCCCTAATCTTCAATTATGAAATTTGATTAGGCCTTTTAGTTGTAATAAAAATATATAAATCTTTTTTAACCATGATTATCGCGTATGCTAAGGGCAATCCATCCAATGTGTTACCATCGTTCCTCTTAAATACGTTACCATATAATTCCAGTAATCGTCTACACTTACATAATGCGCCGCATCATTGTTCCCGAACAGCACGTGTACACCTTTCGGCCTCAACGCGGGGTGCGCAAGAGTCGCCCTCAGATTGCACAAGTGCGTGTCCCACAGAGTAAGCTTCGGCCCGAACCAGGCCGCTATCAAGGACCCGTCCTGGGATATCGCCACGCCGCCGATCGCCAGCTCCCCCCGGTACACAGACTTCGCGACAATCCTGTCGTCCACCACAGACTTCGTCTTGTGTATATTGATGACATTCCTTATCTGATCGCGCTCGAAGAAGTCGCAAGTCAAGTATTTACGCTCCCCCTTCTCCACCAGACCGAGCATCTCCCCATGTTTGAACTCGTTCAGCAACGGGTTGGACTGGATGTGGGAGACCCCAGATGAGTAGTAGCAGGCCGTGAGACAGGTCCATCTGGACTTCTTCTCGTTCCTGTCGAGTCTCCAGACGCGGAACTTCTGGTCGTTGCCGGATGTCACGCAAAAGTCGCTCTTGTTGCTCAGAGCGATAGAGACGACGTTGAGGCCACCGTGAGACAGGTTCACGCAAGTGTTTAGCTTAAACGGGCAAGTTCTGTCTCGGCAGGAGGACCAGAACTTCAGCTTCTCTTCGGGGTAGATGATGCCGTCGTTCCTGTACTCGGATGTGACTAACCATCTGCCATCGGCGCTGACTGCGGCGCACGTCACTTCGGTCTCCACGGGGAGTATGTTATATCGTTCGCTTGGAATGCTGTTCATTTCTGTTATGTCGATCTGGAGAGTAGCATAGAGTATAGAATTAATTAAAATCCACGAATAGTAGATTATTTGGAGTGATAAGTAAATTTTTGTGAAATGTGAAAAAATATCTCTTATGATTAACGCCATCTAGCGAGCAAGTCCGGAACTAAGATACACACCAGTTTAATACTAACATTATATAAAACCTTGTCCGTTTTGGTGGAGTACAGCTGGAGGAACCCCGTCCGGCCCGGAATGATGAGCGAGTCCGTGGGCTTGAAGTAGATGAGCGTGGAGCCCAGTGAACGATTCACGGACGTCAGCCCCCCGCATTCCAGGATTGTGTTCGTCACGTGCATCTCCAGGTTCGCGAGAACTATCGCTGGTAGTATGAAGAATTCATTGATTTATTGAAAACGTGAACCACACGTTACGATACAGATGGCGTGCGTAGCACATTGGGCTTTGACATTAGATACGCTACTATCTTTAGTCCCCACGAATTCGCCACCCACCGGCCACGCCCGATTAATATAAGGGTAATTTCAAGTTTTAAACAGTTAACAAATAAAATATGTATTACAGGCATGAGCTTTAAATCTATTAATCTCTTTCATTATCTGTTAGATACAGGACTTCCATATTATTTTATCTTACCTATATTTGAAATACATAATATGTTGTTTACGCGAGTAATACAGATTTCAGTAAATGATTTCAACGGTTTAAAACGCGAAGTATATTAATTAGATATCCCAAAAGTCCAGTGACCATGGCTGCTGCAAAGTATCCAAGACGTCGAGCCCGTATTTAAAATAAATTGTAAAATATATTTTGCGATTTAAACAGTTTAAAGTGTTATGTTTTATAACAAGTTTGGTATGATAGATCTTATCTGAACGAACAGAGTAGATCTTTGGTAGAACTACTTTATTTTTCATACTTACAGTTATTTGAAAGAGCAACAGCAATATGGGACCTGCTAGCCGTTATGAACCGAGCGAAGCCGGGCATCCGGGGGATGAACTTCTTCTCATTGGCTTTCTGGGCGAGGTCACTGAAAGTCCATTTCACCAGCACTTTCTCCATGCCACCCGTGATTAAGTAGTTACCTGGAAAATGTAAGTCAATTTTTTTATGTGTTACCTTCAAATATATAGTCTTGCCTTACCAGACAGATATTTAGTAAATTTTTCTCTTTTTTTAAGACAAGACACTTGAATAGAAGTATGACGAAATACCGGAACTCTCTATATAACCCCGTTTAAGTTTACGATGGGCTGCTGATCTATTTTGATGTTGGTCAATTGGAGAATCACAGAAGTTTTATGACTTTTCATATTATGTAGACTGTAATTCTTGATCTGAACAGGGCTTTGGTATCCCTTCCATCTCTTACGCGAGTATTACACATTTAAAAAAATCACTTATGGTTTAAAACGCGTGACCACGGTTGCTTCAAAGCATCCGAACCGTCGGGGCCTGATTAAAGTAATTTCCAAATAAGTTTCGCATTTTGAACCGTTGTTTTATGTAAGTGTTGAAATTATTATTTCAATAACATTTTTATTACCAATTGCAGAGAAGGCGACCGCTAGCAAAGGCAAGAAATGCCAGTGCAAGGGCTCTTGAGCTCTTCGATCGGGGTTATACAAGTCTCCCCGAAGCACCATGGCCCTGCCGATGGCGTCTGTGTAGGCAACCATGCCTCGCCGGTTGGCAGCCACAGATAATATCCTGAATCTTGTGGTGAGGCTGAAATAAACACTTTAACGGTTTTAACCATGTTATATATTACGAGCGACACGGCTGTATCTGATATTAAATACACTTCAGAAAAACTGGCAACGTTAAATATAAAAACCTTCCTCTTAAATCACTCTATCTATTTAGAAACCGGATCAAATTCCGTTGCGTAGTTTTAAAGATTTAAGCGTACGTAGGGACAGAAAAGTGACTTTGTTTCAGACTATGTAGTAAAAAGTGAAGACTAGTGAAGCTAAAATGTTTTAATTGAAAAAATAGCGTATAGTGAAAACGGCCTTTACAAAATACACAATTCAATTCACCATGTCATAGAACAATAATAATGACTGACAATCATATTAGTTGTGCGTCAGAAGTTATTTTAAGTATTTATCGATGAAGATATTGATTATTTTTTCTGACGAGAAGCCGGCTAAGCAGCAGCAAGAGCCTACTGAAGTCCCCTTAATAACTTTGTTCGTGAGATAAACAGCTATTTCAGTCAATTTAGTAATTGGAATATTTTGTTTTACTTTGCAGGTACATAAACTGAAATATTGCAAAATATTAAAAACAGTAAAATAACAAATTGTAACCTTTTAAAGGCCGGTTACTTGTATTTGTTGTTCTTGTCTTTCTCAATTTTAAGTTATTTGTGGAGGATTAATAGACGCCTAAACTATTATTGTTAGATTAAAGTATGTACTTCATATTGTATGAAGCTACTAGAGGCAGAGTGGAATAACAAAAATCATAATTTTAATAAGGAGGAAAAAAAAATAGGCAATTAACTTGGGCAAAAATGAATTTGTACTATTATTTGTCTAAGAATGATGCTAACAGTTTGGGTCCCTGTGCTCTTTGATCAATTTTAAACTATGAAATATAACTCAAGTCATAATATTGCAGTTAGGCTACTCTGCGTCTAGCGGCGTCATATATCGTGGGGAAAACAAGGTAACAATGCAGAAACTTGCTAGGTTCCTACAAAACTGATCCCTGCTTATTGTGCTGATTATAAGGATTAGTAATAAGTAGATCAGATTATACAATACTTAAAAGTAAACTTACACAGCACAGACATCTGGCCGGTCGAGATTTTGTATGTGAACCAGATTTTGACCATTGGAAATCACTGCGAATTCTTCTCCCACTGAAGAGCCAATGGCCACAGAGAGTATATCGTTAAACTTCACACCAATTTCATTGTAATAAGTCACCAACTCTCCTGTTCTGATGGAGTATGATGCTATGTGAAAAGTTTTGCTCATCGGATTGCCAGTAAGCACAAAACATATTCTTTCATTTATAAGATTGAAGGACCATACTTTGCTGCCGTTGGGGATTTGTAGTTGCTGAAAATATAAATATCAAGTATTACATAAACTCAATCCTCTTAAATTTTGTCCTATGTCTAGTTCATTGATGTTTTGCTTCACAGGCAGATATACAATATATTTACTACCTTACCCCACAAACATGTGCCAGAGAAGCAAAGGTTTGTCAAATCTCCTGGTTTGTTGTACACTTTTTAACTACAGAATTAGTAAGGGGTGATAATTTAGTAAATAATTTTGGTGCTTACATCAGACAGCTTTAAATAGATTATTTAAAGAGGAATTATTCTCTTTTCACTAAGTACTAGATGTATGAAATTTAGACAAACAAACTCTTCAGCTTTATACATCGGTATAGATTTTCAATACCTTGGATTGATGTAGTTTTTAGAAGACATACATAAATAGTAACTAAATGAAATTTGCAACCCTGAAATAGTATCATAGAGTACTAACAACTTCTCTGAGGACTGCACCATTTTCCCAAGTCCATGTTGTGACAACGCCTCGATCAGAGCAACCACACAAGTTGTAGTCTTCCTTTTCGGGAAATTCTATGGCAATTAATTCCTTAACTGCAGATTCAGTTTCCAGGGTTCGTGTCCAATCAGCGGTCTTCACGTTATAAACGCGCACCACATTTTCGGCTATTACGAGGACAGATCTGAAATGTAGTTATAAATAGTAAGTACGGGCTGGATCGAAGGTATTTATGATAAACAATGTACGTACTCATCGTCAGGTGAAAAAATAGGGCGTCGATCGACAATACTTCTGCCAGCTTTTCTTTTGCACACATAATTTGTCTGATTACTTGAAAGTTTTACAACCATTTTGTATCTCTCTACATATATTGGCTCTAAGAAATTTACCACATGATCTAACCTCCAATAATTTGTACCACTAATAAACAACAAAACAATATTTTTAAGTTTCAAGCATTGACACTGACAATTTACAATAACGTTTTGACAGATTATATAAGTCTGTGAAAGTTATCGATTGGAATGAAATACCACAGAGAATCATTTTATTTTTAATGTGATTTGTTCGAAAAGTCTTTTTCTAGTTTAATTTATTCTAACATGTCTTAATTTAAGTTTTAAAGTAATTAAAGTGATACGATCTAGTCAGTAGTGTAGCTATAGCAAGAGCCCGGTACAAAAAAATAATCGGGCTCTCATCTGCTTTTCGTGTTCTCTGCCAAAATTATTTAAAGGATCGAGATCAATTAATTTTAAAATTCTAAATTATTTTCTTCTTTCTTTTTCGCTTATCTGTTTTCAAAGATGACTTGCTTAACTTCTAACTAAGGAAGATTATTATTTAACGAAAACATCTTATCGCTTTATGATGCCTGCACCGAGACAAGTATTTAAATGGAAAGAAATGGAATTGCTGATTGACTTTTTGCCGAAAGGACGTTAACTCAACAGCATTGGGTCGTTTCCCAGGAGATCCACTTGAGAATAAAGAAGAATGTGCCACTAAGTGGACCAATGGAAAAGAGTGTATAATATAAACAAACCTAATACATTATTACTTATTTCTAGCTTGCCTTTTTAAAATTTTATTTTTACATTAATAATTTTAGTATTTCATAGTTTAAGGCAAAAACAAAGGCCAAAGCTGCCGAGTTGCAAACATCTGCAAGTATAACTGATGGAGTGCCTAATGAATTAGAACCATTTACAGATATGGAAAGAAGAGTACTAGCAATCATAGGCACCATAGCTATAGAAGGATTATTGCCCAGTGTGGGCACTCCTGTGGGTCTGGTAGATTCTAACAGCGTACTTGGCTAGCATAGCCTCCTAAATTATAGATAGGTACAAGAACAGTTCTCTTTTAAACGTTTTTTTTTATGTGAAACATCTATAGCCGCACGTAAAACCGATTTCTGGCGTGGCGACGCATGCCGTGGCGAGGCGTCGCCACGCTATACGATGGTATATATATACAGTCTATATGCAGTAGTGTGTACGGTGTGGCGGCGCGGTTAATTTTTGTATTTAATGAAAATAAATGTTTATTCAATAAATAGTCATCGTTATCTGGAAAAAATCGTAATATTTTATTTTATCATTATGACATATTTAGTTCCTATCACAATATGTTCTTTTCTGCACATTACTTTTACAAAATAATGGCGATGTTTCACATCTGCCAGGCGTCCCGTGACGGCTCACATTTTTCTTTTTCTTTACGATTATCTGTTTTTAAAGATGAGATTAGAGGGTGTTAAGTGCCGTGGCTCCAGTGCTCCGAGCGCGTGGTGAATGGGGTTGAAACCCTGAATGGTTATGGGCTACGTATAAACAATAAAATGGATGTTCGCGAGTGTTTCCCCAAGACACTAGTAACATAGTCAAAAGCTCATCATTCAAAAAAGGTAGCGTTTCATTCATTGTGTGGTCACGGTGGAATACAGGCATCTGCTATTTATGTCGCGTGCGATTAACTGAGGTTGATATTGATATTTTTACACTTTAAAATGATTTTAGTGCTCCGAAAATAATTTAGTTTCATTATTTCAAAGATTGTTAAAAAAAAATATAATTCAATTAATGGTGAGTAATAGAGATTTATTGCTTACTAGCTGTGGCCGCGACTTTCTCCGCGTAGAATAGTTAGTTCGGTCATCTATATTTGTTTTTGCAAATCTACTCATTTTTATTAATTTTAACTGTTACCTACCTGACGTAGTCCTCTGTGTCCTATCGTATTTGAAGATTAATCCTAATTGTCACGGACATTTTTTAGATCGTTCAAAGCGGATTCGGAAAAATATGTATTACATAATAAATTAATAATACATTTTTTTTGTTGGTTTTTTAAACCGTTTTCTGCAACGAAAACCCTTTAATATGATCTTCGATAACTTCTGAAACATCGGGCCATGTAGATGTTAAAAATAATTTAAACATTATGTTTCACGTTTTAATCGGGTTGATGTTATATTTAAATGGTACGCTGGCAAAACTATAAGACTACTATTTGACTAGTTTACTGTTCTGGCCAGTCGCGAAAACTGTCATCTATCACTGTTTTATCTTCTGAAAACTGTCAATGTCAGTTAAACGACAGCAACTGAGCAGCATGTTTGCGGCATGTTAGACCGAAAAAGTTTATTATTATCCATTATTATTGCAAATTAAACTATAACTAAAAAGACAAAAACAAACTTGGTCTTGGTGAAACTCTTGTACCGTCATCTAGTTCATTAACCATGTCGGGGGATCCAGAAGCTGCTCAAATTCAAGTGCGGTTCTTTACTAAACAAGAACAGTATGTATTTGGGTTCTTTAATCTTTAAATAATCTGAAAATATTAGGGATAGACAACAGACTGACACTTATAATATTTATTGTATATTTCAGATATGCTATCCCAGACAGTCCCCTGGCCATCCAAAGTAATATACAAACAAACGAACTGAGCACATTAGTCAATGGCCTTCTCAAGGAATCGGACTCGTCTATCCAAAAATCCGTGGATTTCGACTTTCTGCTATACGGCGAATTGATTCGTACATCGGTGGCGGAGCATTTGCAAGAGAAGGGTGTTTCAACTGAAGAAACATTGGAGATTGAATACATTGAAAGGTTCCCTGCTCCAAGCCCCCAAGACTGTTTGATGCACGATGATTGGGTGTCGGCTGTTGATACACATGGAAATTGGTATGTTTTGACAAGTCATAACTCTACTTTTACCTATTATTGCTTACCATAGTTAAGTGAGAGAGAAGTCTATAGAAGGATTTTTAAGTGTTTTAATTAAGCAGAGGAGAAGATCCCCTTCTGGCGGAGTTGAAATCTCTTACGGACACTGGTACAGAAATTTGTCAGCCACATGTATAGATAGATTCAGACTAAAGAACTTATGAATTGTGATGTGTTGATGTCTATTTTTCTTCATTCAGTTAGTTAAAACTGAATGAAGATGTATGATAGTGATGACGTGGTTGTTGAATTTGTTGGACCAGCACCAAACAATTCTGTATTCCGGTTTAACACCTGCCCATGTTGTAATTTTTTTTTGTCTAAATATAATTATAAACAGTTAAAGCTATTGCATTTGAACTTAACTACTGGTTTTAATTTATAGGATATTGTCAGGCTGTTACGATAACAGTGTCCACATTTGGAATCACAAAGGACAACATAAACTGGCAATTCCTGGTCACACATCACCCGTAAAGGCTGTAGCATGGGTGACCTTAGACAATGATCAAGGTGTCTTTGTGAGGTAACTCATCACAGTTTTTTTCAATACATGAAAACTTAGTAGTATTTAGATATTCTTTATCTTACTATACCTATTTTTACTATAAGAAAAATTGTAAAAACTATTTAATACCCCTCAAAATTAAGAAAGGATCCATTCTTATTTAATTTTGTCACTACAAAATATTGGTGAGTCTTAAAGCACCTGCTGAGGTCAGGGTTCATACATTTTAATCTATATGTTATGTAAAAATATTGGTATTTATCTAAAATCTAAACATATGTGTGTGTTATTTTAGTGGATCACATGATCAATCAGCCATATTATGGGTGTGGAATGTGTCTGGCAATTCTGTGGAAAGTGTTGTAACATGTCGGAGTCATGAGAAGGGAATCGAGTGTCTGGCGGTGTCTGCTGATGGCAAGCAGTTTGCATCGGGGGCCTGGGACAATAATGTTTGCCTTTGGAGTGCAAGTAATTTTGTTTTGCCTGTAGATTTCCTGTGTTTTATATTAAATAGAAAACTGAATATTAGTTAAGGCCAGAGTAAATAATTTCTGAGCTGAGGTCTGTCCCTTTAACTAGTTTGTAAGAGTTTTTGTTCATTTTCTTACGCCATATTTTTTCTTCTTTAACTGTTTAAAACCCTGTGTTTTGACTTACAACTTTATACTTTTCAGGTCTTTCCGATGAGGATAATGTGCCACCTAAAAAGAAAAGCAAACTTGACCAGGGAAAGTCAAGAGTAGGTTTCTTTAATTTGTTATTTTATTTTTATTACAAAGGATGGACCGCTTTAAATTAAACCAAGATGCACTGTCAACGTATTTTGTGCTAGTAAATGAACCCAGGGAAACATTTTTGATCAGACAGGGCACAAATTTAAATAACTATATGCCTGTAAATAAATAAATTAAAATGTATTTGCCCCATACTCTCTGAAAAACAGGATTTCACTCTCATTTCTCAACAGGAAGCCCTAACGACTTTGAAGGGGCACCGAGAAGCTGTATCCGCTGTGCAGTGGATGGATTTTAACACAATCATATCGAGCAGCTGGGATCATTTACTCAAGATCTGGGATTGTGAACTCAGTGGAATCAAGCAGGAGATTGCAGGTGAATGTTTAAGATTTTATTAGAGATATTGTAGGCCAGACAAGCCCCCAAGATGAAGATATGACAAGCAACCCCATGTCCATGGAAAGTGTTGTACACCAGGCTTATAAAAAATAAACAAGATGTGCTGTTGATCTATAGAGTTTACATAAGCTATACCTTGCACCTGGATTTACACGTTATCTGTGGATGGTGGTAGAATTTTGATAATTTCCAGATGTTATAGACAAATTGATATTTTAGAAACATATTGGTTCTGGTGAGAATAGAACTTACGACAATTAGATTGTTTTTAAAAAGAGGGCCTTTACTTAAGAAACTGTTTTTTTAAATTTATGATTTTTTTAATTTTACGTCACACAATCAAAGAAGCGGTTAGTCTTATGTATACACTCTGATTAACAATTGGATACTTTTTTGTTTGAAGTGTGGTGGTGTCCTTAAATTAAAATAACCCCCCCACAAGAGAAAAAAAAATAAACTCCAGCCGGATCCAATGGGCACTGTAGGTTTGAATCCTGAAGTAATATTTCTTTTAAATTTAAACAGTGTTTTACGTCATCTTACAGGCAACAAGGCTATCCTGGACGTGGCCTGGTCTCCACTGAACAAGAGCATCATCACAGCGTCGGCTGATAGGCACATACGTCTCTACGATCCTAGGTCCTCGGGTAAGCCAGGAAATTGATTCCTTTGTTATTTTGACTAATATGTAGGCACTTAGTAACAGCGCGACCCCGTTAGATGACTTGGTTCGGTTAATTCTGACATGTTATCGAAACATATTGTACTTGCACACGTGTGTGGCTCTGTAGCACGGCCACACACACATATAAATGGCATGTATAAATACCGATGTTATTGGTTAATAAATAATTACAATTAGATTATTAATTAATTTGGGTGTCAAAATGTTACTTATAATTTTTACTCGTAAGTCATTGGTAGTACACATTTGAATAAAACTTCGGCCCTTAGTTAAAATATACTGTACAAATTACACCAATACCTTTTAATAATATAAAATACATTTCGCGTTTTATATTATTAAAAGGGCTAAATAATAAAACTTAAAGGTTTAACACGCTAACTATATTATTGAACTTAACTATGCTTGGGATGTTTTATCGCAGTCGTGGTCGCAGGGGAACCGACGATCGTATCCCTAATGTCGTAGTCAAATATGCTACGCTAGCGCCACCTCTTTGGTCGTAGTTGATCGTTGTTGTGTGTATGTACTTCTCGCTTAAATTATTGACCAAATTATGTGTATTTCATAAAAATAGTAACATAAAATGAAAAAGCTTAGCCTCTTTGAGGAAAAAAATTTTTTTTTTGCCTTCTTAGTATAAGCCCCTTATAAAAACATTTGTGTATCTATTCTATACTACTTGTTCTATTCGTATTTTAAATTCGAAATTTGTTTTCCAATTCCAGACAGCATAGTGAAGACGACGTTCACGTCGCACAGTGGCTGGGTGCAGTCGGTGCGGTGGTCCACCACGCAGGACACGCTGTTCCTTTCCGCGGGGTACGACGCGCAGGTCAAGCTGTGGGACACGAGGAGGTATGGTGATGATAACACACACACGCACATACACATACATACAGACACACACCCACACACACACACATCTTGGACGCGTACTCATTTTCAATTCTTGTTTTATGTACCTCAAGTCAGTAATTAAAAAAAAGAAAGGAGTACGATTTCGTCAGCACTAACCACTGTGCATAGATAAAAAGGCCAAAATGGGTCGACAGCTCATCTTCTTTGGATGGTATATGGTTGGACGCGGGTGTCGTATCATAAAAAAATTTGACACCAAAAAGACGTCGGCCATCAGGTTGCCTTGGATATTAGGAAACCCACAAATTGACGACTTTTTCGTGTGGACGGTGGTTAATAATCCGGAAGGAGTGTCGATATTCATACCACCCATTTCACATCCAGATTTTGGAAGACCAAGTTTGTTGTGTTTCAGAAAACTACAAATTCATTTCAAAGAGTTCGAACCCAATGGGGATCGAACTCACCAACCGTCGATTAGCAATATTCTGCTACCATTAGACCGACGGAGCCTAACAAAACAATATTTAGTAGACAATCCTTTATAAACATTTGTTTTCTTAATAAAACACTTAAACTAATATATTTCGTGTTTTAAACCGTTAATTATATTATGTGTACTCGCGTTTAATACAATACCTAACGGTATTTTTTTCAGTCCAAAGACTACCCTGTACGACCTGACCGGACACGAGGATAAGGTGCTTTGCTGCAATTGGTCGAACCCCGCTCTCCTCATCAGCGGCGCCTGCGACAACACCCTGAGGATATTCAAAGCGAAACACGCCATCAAGCACGCCTGAAGATCGAGGGGCTTTTATAATGGATAAGTATTATATAAACTAATGATATACACTTCTTTTTCTTTCATTTGATTTACATAATAGCTTCATTGGACACGGTAGCTCAAATGGATATGGATGTCGGTTCAAGTCGCGAGTGGCTTACATTTTTCTATTTAAATAACATTTTATTTAATCTTGAATTATCCCAATATTTTAAGATTGGCGTTCTATAAAATATAATTAATTCAATATCTCTATAATTGAACCACACGTTTCTTTCAAAGCTTTATTCTTTTTCACATCATTAAAATTAGTTTGATATGAAATAAAATACGTTACGGGCAGGATTTGAACCGGTATCCACACTGTACCGCGCTGCTGGTCTAACCAACCGGAAACCTTTGGTTATTTTTCATGTACATACATGCTGTAATAATATAAATTGAATATCTATTTAGAACCTTAAGTCGTGGGTGTTAAGGTTAAAATTACATTGCGCAAGATTTGCACGTATCAATGGAAGGAACTCGACGATGTCGTAGGAAACGGTAGCTCAATTGGTCAGCGCTGAACGCTGTGGATGCTGGTTCGAGTCCCGTTCGTCCCGTAAAGGAACTGCCAATAATAAATCCCTTAAATTTTCAAATTATATATGAACCTTTAGTTTAGTTATTTGTATCATTGCTTATCATTGGCTTCGGTCTGTGGTGGAAAAACACCTGTTCGACCTTGGGTATTGATATCAGTATGTTAAGCTTAGGATGCTAGAGGCAGTCGTTGCGTAAAAGTAGATTTGGGTTCGATTCTGCGTGCATAGCAGTCAGTCAGGCAGGATACATAATTTCGACAACTAGTTGTCATATAACAATTGATCAGTAAGGAGTAGTATATGAAACTTGACTTAAGTAGAATGTTGAGATAATAAACTCTTTTAAACGGTTTAAAACGCGATATATATTTTAACTTCAGTATTTGCTGCAAAGAATCCATAACATCGGCTCCTGTTGTTCTTAGTTTTAAATTGAGGAACAAGTTAATATGTTTCGCGTTTTAAACCGTCGAGTGTTCAATCTACACAGTACGGGGGCATTAAAACAAGAGGCGTTCGGTTTTGCTCGTTTTATTTCAATCATTTGCTCTTACAAAATATCGGGTTCGCTGCAAAGGAACGCGACTAGTTCATAGACATGCTTCTTAGTACCATTTCATTAATTCATATATGATCTGGGGTCGCGGGGCGCGGGGCGGGGGGCGGCCCCGGCATGCTCATAGCACTGAAGACACCTCGCAAACGCCTCGTAACAAAATAGACCTAACTCTCCGTCGGCGCCCGCGCAGCGCCCGCGACGCGCCCCTTAAAAATACTCTGTCTTATCGACGATTTCATCTTTTTTTTTACATTTTATCAAAGTTTTCTTCTCGCATTTCGTATTACTAAGCTACCTAACTAAGTTTTAACTAAACTACGCGCTAGACTAGTTTCGCCGGTGGATCACGACGCTTCGTACGCTTCGACGCATTGGACGCTGCGGTATTTATTTTTTATTTGCATCGTTTAACCGTTTACACTTAACCGACTACATAACAAAAGGGAAGCAAACTCTTGAACAGAAACTTACTCGAGCGCTCGCTAGCTTTAGATCTTAGTGCTATGTGCGCGTGCGCCGCGCCGTCGCTCCGAATTCAATTCAATAGACTAACAGCGGGCCGGAGAGACCGCGCGGCGCGCCGCCTTAACCTATCCCTATCCTAACATTTCTTTGCTATTCTAACCTATCTAGGTAAGCCTAAGCTAAACTAAAACGCTCCTTATACTAACAACCCACCTCGCGTTCGAATTTTGGTATCCCTTATTTTTGTGCTCTTCGCGTTATCCCTAACTAACTAACACTTACTTACCCATAATCTCAACGTAAGGTTTTATGTATCACACGTGTCACTGAAGCGAGCGGAGCTAGGAACATCTAAAGAGTTTCGGGCGACCGCGGTCACGTTTGAACGAAGCCGAAGGCACTACCTTACTTATTGCTCTCAATGGAAGCTTCAACCGGTGCTAAGAACGAAACCGAGCGGAACGAAAGACTGGGGAGGGGGGGAGGCGCGTTAGACTGCTTTAAAAATACGACATCGATTTTAAGTTTTAGCGGAAATACCTATCGGAAGACTGCATTAACAGGAAGCCACTGTATATTGTTGACCGCGGATTGCGATCGCTTACATGGGCGTACTCAGCTTCTGCCCGGGAAAGGGGGGGTAGAAACACTTTCAACCTACCTCCAAAAAACAATAACCTAAGTAGCCGTGTATGGAGGCATCACCAGAATAAGCCTGTTTTCTAAGAAAAGTTAAACCTTGGATTTCCAGGGGGTATTCCCTGGGTACGCCCATGACCACTTACCTAAGAACCGCACGATTCGGCCGCAGTTTGCCTCCTCGCGGATCAGTTGCGCGAGCGTCAAAGGCGGTTTCAAATCAGTACGAACGATTTGGCTCGATCGGCTTTTACGCCAGTGTAAAAGCCGTCTGGGGGGGATTTAGAAAGTCTCACTTTTGGCCTTCGTGAGTATCTCGAACTAGCGTGAACAGAATCGAGGGTAGTCAGCGAAATGATAGTCGCCTAATACTGATCAGTGTTCTACTTACAGCGGCGCAGGTCCGAGCCGATAGACGAATAGTATCTCGAGTAGAAAAGTCTAATTTCATTCAAAACCTGCCGTTCGTAGTCAGTTCCCGCGTCGGGTCCAGGTTTTGAACGAAGGGCCGTCGCTCGCCCGGCCAAAAACAGTTTCGTATCAAACATTTAAAGTCTTCAGTCCCGACTCATATAAATATCTCCTACTTATTCGTTTTAGTGATTTGTATACTTTGGTTCTGGTGAAAGTGACGTGCCAAAATAGATTTAACTGCGGCTACAGTAGGCTCTCGTACCCGTCAACAATGTATATACATGTATACATATGCACGTATTATTTATATATATTCAATATAAAAATATCAAATTTCATATAAAGTCATAAAGTGTACCCAAAACCTACGCGACGTTGGGTTCTGCTAGTGGAAGTGCCGGCGCGGGCCCTCAAAAGGAGGGGCGGCGCCCCGAACGAGACTCTCATACAAAATTGTATAGACTTGTATAAATATTCTAAATACCGTTCACCGCTAGTACTAGCGCGCCGGCGCGTGCGCAAGTTTACGGGTCAAAACACGGATCGAGAAATAATCATTTGGAAGTTCCACGGTATACATAGATCAGTCTGCTATCGGGTTTGGCAACATCGGGTCGATGCGTTACAAAAGTCGGGTGAGATGCCTTCGCGTCACCCGTTCGCTACTAGTGTGACTGCACCGGCGTGAGTGGTCCTACTGAACGTAAATAATACTGTGTATTCCATAGATTTAGTACCATTTTCAAAGAAAACACTAAAGCACCATGCCGAAAATATTACAACACAATTCCCACGTGGTGGTCATAACCTCTTTCCGTCTGTTGGGTCCGGTGACCGGGCGGGATGTATTTTTCAAATACACCAGTTTCACGGAAGATTTACAATCTTCGGAATATCTCTAATTAGTTTCCAAGAGTTTTAAACCGTTAAACACTTCTCTACACACGTTAGATTTCTCCTCTGCATATATTTGTATCTGATATGACGTCGGATATTGCTTAGCGCGACGAAAGGGGATAAAATATAAAAACTATAGAATTTCAAATATCCGTTTGCACGCCGCAAGTTCCGCCGTAATTTCTACCTCTCGCGTCTTAAAATACAATATGACACAGAAATAAATAAAATTTTTCAATTTGCAAAATAAATTTAAACTTTTTAAAATTCATTCAATTAAAACACTAAGCTAAAATAAATACCTATCTATCTTAAATAACCGCGTGTTCGAAGTTTCTAAATTTAAAAATTTCCATAAAACAATAATAAAACTATGACGTAAAAACACGTTTAAATTGGAGCTAAGTCTACGCGTGTAATCCACTCTCGCGCCGTCGAAAGACCCCATCGAAACGCCGCAGTTCCGATCGCGAAGCCGAAAGACGAAAGCCGCGCCAGAGACGAAGGCCGCCAGAGACGGAAGCCGCCAGAGACGAAAGTCGCCAGAGACGAAAGCCGCCAGAGACGAAAGTCGCCAGAGACGAAGGCCGCCAGAGACGAAAGTCGCCAGAGACGAAAGTCGCCAGAGACGAAAGTCGCCAGAGACGGAAGCCGTCAAGACGAGCGGTCGAGGCGAGAGAACCGAATTGGATTAGGCTTAAACTAGAGTCGCGATGAAGTCTATAACGGCCGCAAATTAAACTAAAACAAATTAACATCGTAAAGTCACAGTTGCTTTGATTTTTGGCTCGTGTACATGGGTCGTGGCCGCTCCGCGCTTACTTCGGGGGCGGGTAGGGCTGGTAGGCCTCGTCGGGGGACGCGGCGGTGGAGGCGTGCTCGCTCTCCATCGGCATCTGGATGACCGGCGGGGTGGGCCCCGCGAAGTACTGGTACGGGTGCGACGCGAAGTACTGAAAAAACAAACGCCGGTCAGTGGGTCGGCCCGCACCGCGCTAGAGCGTTAAACATCGCATTGGGAACTCACGTAAACTTCGTTTTCCGGCCTTAAGCTGTCCCAGTTTACCTGGAATGCAGAAATCTCTTGTAAGATTCACATTCTACACTTAGACGGCCGTTTTCTGTATAAATCCATCTAAATAATTCTGTGCAGTCCGAGTATCACGACTGGGGATGTTGTTTTCAAGAGAAACCTTAACCTTCCTAAATCCCTCCCCCTCCCTCCTCTTTTAGAACAATCGAAACAGAAGGTAAGTATGAACGAATGTAATACAGGGCAACTCGACTTAACAAATCTGAGGGGAACTTGAGAATATTCGTTATGTCAAGAAATTCTTTGAACTGCGGTTTGTAATGTTGAGGTTGGATCGGTCTAAAATTCGTTATAACGGGGTAAACGCCATTTTAACTTCAATCTTTAACAATAGTGACGAGCAGAATCAAACACAAATGATTGTTTTACGAACAAAGGCGTGTCGAAACATATCGCGACATGAATCACAACTTTAAACTTTGGGAACTTTAAAGGCTTTGAGATAAAATTCGTTAATTAGAGGTATAAATACTTCTTCATAGTTGAAAATCCGTCATACAGAGGTTGTTCGCAAAGAATGTTCGCATTGTAAAGGTCTATTTCATATTGACTCTTTTGGACAATTCAAGGGGATTACGGAGAATTCGTTAAATCGAGGAAGTCGTTATCTTGAGGTGCGTTATATTTGGTCGCGCTGTACTTACATATTGGCTAGGTACAGCATCTATGGGTATATGCGTCGCGTGCGCAGGATGCGGCGCATGGTGCGCGGGGTGCGCCGGCGGAATGAGCGTAGCGTACGGCGCGAGCCAAGCGGCGGGATGCGCGGCGTGGTGGTGATGGTGCAGCTGCGGGTGGAAAGCGGCCACGCCGTACACGCTGGCGCTGCTGCGGTACACTCCGGTGCAATCGCCTCCGGCTCCTCCGGCCACGCCCCCGGCGTACACGCCACTCACGCTCATGGCCTGGTTTAAGTATATCTACTATTATATTAGAAGGTTTGGACAATCGGACAAGTGACTCGCATAGGTCGAATAGGAATATTAGATGGGTGGGTATGGAAATTCCTTAATAAGTTCCTGCTCGGAAGCACGAGCTATTTCAAATTTCTGCAGCTTACACTGTCGCTCGGATGCTTAGCGCACTCAAGGCGCTCCTGGATAGCAACCCTGATGTCGATTTATTTTTTGACAATTATGGAACAATCGTGTCCAATTGTTTAAAATGGTGCGATTCTTCTTTGTCCGTATTGTGCTTTTTTACAATTAATGTAATTGGCTTAGGCCGTTCAAGTTGTAGGAAATAAATAAATATGTTTGAGGTATTATTTCTTTCTTCAAGTTACCCGCAGTCCTTCACTGTTATATACCCGGAGCTATGTTTGTCCCGGGTACTTTTGGTATTAAAAATTGTCGCCTTAGTCCTACTGAGGTACAACTACTTTATAATTTAAAAATCGAAAATAAATTGAAAAAATTTTCGACTCGGGCAGGACTTGAACCGACATCGTCATCGTTCCGTGCTGTTGCTCAACTACAACTACTTTAATTAAAAAATTAGTGCTATCTACAGTCTTTCTATTAAAATAAAAGCTGCAAAGCATCCGAATCGTAGTTACATTAAATTAAAATATTAAAGTGATTCAATTAACTTTGTACTACTTTAGCTGCCTACAGACTTAATCAGTATTTATATCACTTTTTTTATTGTTTTATAAGACACATTTAATTAGAACTACCTTGTACAGTACAATCCATTACTTATGCTGTACCATGTCTGTCTAAGTATTACTTAAACTGTACGATGTCTGCATGTCAACATGCTGTATCTTAAAAAAACCGCGATAGCTAGACAATTAAATCTTGGCCAATTTCATTTTTTTTACTTTCCAAGTTTTAAAATATTGTTGCCAGTACCTGTATGGAGTCGGCGTTATCCCTCCATCCTCGGCCGCTGTCGTTTTGTTTGTTATAAGATGCCTTCTTCTTATTTCCTCCATCAGCGAACTTCACCAGCAACGGTTCTTTGGCGCCCGGTATCGGGTTTCCATTGAACATCTGAAATTTACCAATGTCAATAATGTACTAACCATAAAATATATAAATGGATGTCTAAATAAAACACTTAACAGTTCAAAACGCGGTTATATATTATACTAGCTAAGGCAACGACTTCATTCGCGTAGAATAGTTATTTTGGGTATCAAAAATTGAAATAAAACACTTAAACGGTTCAAAACCCGATATATTAATTAAACTTATTTGAAAATGATTTTTACATTTGATCACGGGCAGACTCGGCGTGGACACGGCTGCTGCAAAGCATCCGAAACGTCGGGCCGAAGTTAAAAATCATTTCCAAATAAGTTTAACTAATATATCGCATTTTAAACCGTTAAAGTGTTTTATTTAAATGTGTACTACTCGCGTAAACTATAGACAGTATCCAAATTTGTTTTTGCAAACTGCCCTAACATACGTCGTTCAATTTCGGCCGTTCTTGCAAGTTTATCTTGGGAGATAGACATTCTGTCGCGGACATTTTTTTTATTGTTTAAAGAAGAATCATTCTCTTATACATATTTTTTGTGAATCTTGAACCGTTTTTGCAGAGTACGCGTCGGAAAAGAACAATTTTCCCCGTTTTTTACCGCATTTTCCGTTGTTTATCGTTCCTATTAGTCACAGCGCATCATTTCATAGTCTTCCTCGATAAATGATCTAACCAACACATTTTTTTTTAAATTAGAACCAGTATTTCCTGACATTAGCGCGTTCAAACAAACCGACAAACTCTTCAGCTTTTTTAAGTATAGATTATAGTAGTCACGACGTGAAACCAAAAAGGGTGTTAAAGAGAGTTTCTTATTTGACAATATTTAAAAATTGTCAATTAAGAAAAAATGTAACGTACGTTTTTGACATTTTAGAATGGTTTGGAAATGTTGTACGAATTTCGTTATCAGTACAAAAATACTGTCATTTAGAATTGAGATCGTACAATGTTTGTTTATCATACAATTGACAATTACTAATAATTAATTTTTGATTAGGTATTTTGTCGTCTAAAGAGACATTATTTTGATAAGATGCTTCGAGATAGATCGAACTTGCTGTACAAGTCAATCGGCTTGTCGTGTTTAGCGGCAAAGTAAATTTAAAAACGGAACGATCTACTCCGCAAGATGGCGACCAAAGCGGTAACTTATTAACGGTTTATTTTAAATTTCGATCTAGCTCGCACCTAGCCGTTAAGAGAAAAGAATACTTAGGCGCGTATAAAACTTTTTATTAGTCGTTCGTCAACTTTGATTTCCACGTATTATTTAAGAAATATTCTGTACAGGCCTTGGCCGCAAGCAGGCACAGATGGACCCACGTTCGTCAATTGAAAATTGTTCGTCTCTCTCTCGTCGACCGGTTTTTTTTAATGATAGAGAAGGACAGACATGTAGGTGATATACACTATCTATACCCTAACCTTACATCTAAACAAGATGCGCTGTCGACCTATTTTCGCTTTGGATATTCGGAAGTCCACAGACTGAAACCGAAACGCGATTAAGCTTCACGGCTTTTTTATCTGTGAACGGTGGTTCGTGGCCCGGACGGAATTTCTTTATTCCTACCGCCCATTTAATATCCAGGTTTTCAGACGAAGTCCAGCATGTTTCAGAAAAAGTAGAATCAGGTTGGACCCCGTGGGGATCGATCCCATGGCCCGTCGGTCATTATAGCTATGCGTTGCTACCATTAGCCCGCCGAAGTAGCCCTCTCTAGTAATATGTATACTATTTTGCCCGGTAAAGAAAAGTGCACGACGACTCTAAAGAAATATTAACTTCAAAAGCGAAGACGATATGACAAAAGCCAAGGTCCCGCAAGATTTCTGGGGAGTGAACGTCGCCAAGAATTTTATTTTCCGTTGGAGATGAGTCTTCGCAAGAATCATGTTTCTCTTTTACGGTATGCGACAAAGAACATATATTTCAGCCTAAAGATTTAGACGAGGGGGTCTTTGGAATACGGCCAAGTGCGAGTGTAAGTCGAGCGGATTGTGTCGTGCGGCGTTACAAACGTTTGAGTCTAGATTAAATTTCTTCCGAATATCCAGAATAAAAAATAATTCTACAGTAAGTATTCTTAAGACATATAATTCTATAGTAGTATAAGTTTTTCACCTTCCATCAAATAAAACACATGCTTATTCTCTATGATTTCACACATCAAAATTTAAACCTAGTTGTGAGCAAAGCATAGACGTATTAGATTACTTAATTACAGGGCAAAACATATCATTAAAATGGGCTGTCAACCTTGTTCGATGGCGTTGAAGTTGCAGCCGGAGCGCCAACAAACAAACATCTTAAAAAAAGTTGAATGTAACTAAAATTGTGCAATATTATAAGTGTTCAAAGTGTCTGTCGTACTAATCGATGATGATGTTGACAATTTTTGCTGGCCGTACCGCCTGGCGATCCGTGTGATCTTTGTGTCTTAAATAATGAATAGGATTCGTTTTCGAGTTAAATAGGGATTGTGTCAATTTAGGAATTGAAATATCTGGTTTTATTTTGCAGGTTGATTTGGTCATAAACATTGCAAAACATTAGTAACATGAAGCTTCTAACGCACAACTAATAGAATTGTAAGTCATTATTATCATTGTCATGTTAAATAACAAATTTGGCGCGCCGGTCGCTAACTTCAGCTCCAGAAACAATTTTGTTGGCTTTCTCTACATTTCCCACAGTTTTTCGCTACTATTAGTGTATAGCCTTCCTCGATAAATGCTCTAACGAACACAAAAATAGTTTTTCAATTCCTACCCATTTCTACTTTCTGAGATTAGCGCGTTCAAACAAACAAACTCTTCAGCTCTATTCGTATAGATATTCCCATATAGACAGTAATTTTATTGTATAGATATCAATAACAATTGTCTATCGTACTTAGTCACCGTACTTACTTGTATGATCTGTTCGCATTTTTCCCTCGACTCCATCCTAGCGAAGCCGACCCCCTTGCTGTGCCCGTGGGTGTCCCTCAGGATCCTCGTGGAGACCACTTGGCCGAACTTGGCTAACAGCTGATCCACGTCGTTCTCCTTGAAGTGCGGCGGCAGGTTAGCCATGTACAAGTTGGTCGGATCCTGTTCTTGCTGCTGTAAAGCGTGAGGAAGTACGTTCAAATGTCTGTTCCAATGTCAAATTTAAAAACGTGTTCCAAATTCAAATTTAAAAACGTTCCAAATTTAAATTTAAATTTTCTGAAAATAGAATCGAGAATAGCTAAGCCCGAACTTCTAGACGCGAAAGCGAACACTGACGTTCTAGTGCTAGTAAGTCGTTGTTAGTTAACGAAATGGGTATATACAGCATAGATTATGAAGCTTGTAAGTCGCATACACTAGTTTAATATTGAAAGCATAGAATACCCAGAGCCCAATAGCGGTACACTCGTTACGCTGAAGCAGACCACAAGAGTTAGGATGAAGTTCTGAAGTTAGAAGCCGTGTTGGCGTGGAAGGATCGTACATACTCACGAAATGGACAAGTCACTTCTGTCTACGACGGTACCGACTATCTCTTCCGATATCACTAAATTAACTGTCGATTAAATACACTTCAAATTTAATAAGGGCGTCGTCGCCGACGGACTCTAGAACTAGATAGATCAATTTGTCTAGATTTATTCGGATAGGCTCCTGCAAGGCACAAGTCTAGCGGCACCAATTTGAAAGGCTTTCTCACAGTAAATACTAAAGCTATGGTGGGGGGCGGTAGGGATCCGGTCGGGATGGGAGTCGGGTCGATTTATTCCAAAATTATGCTCGCTACGTGTATAATATTCATCACTTGAATCTGGATAGTTTTCAAATGCACTTGCTACGAATTTAATTATCAATCATTAACAAGGGATATTGAACCTTAACTGTTTAACGTAAGGTCGATATTTGAATGATTTAGAGTTTGAATAGAATGTGAAGGTTCTCGATGCCGTATGGGTAGAGGGGGGCGCGCGGAAGGAAGAGGAAGAGGCGGTTAGTCTTGATAGTACTTGCATGCATAACGTACACGGTTCAGTCTACGCAGGAACCAGATACCCACTTTCGCCATCTGGGCCTGAACACCTTTGGCCTGTAACCCCTTGACGGCCGCCTCCGCTGACGAGATGCTCTCAAAATCTACAAAACCGTACCCTGCGGAAACACAAACGGAATAACATGACGAGTTTTAAGCTGGCCGGAAGATGCGCGTGAGACGTGGAATGTTTCAGAAAAGTATGTCGGTACAGATGGATTGGTGCCTGAGTGCAAATTGTAATGGTTCGGATGCATGGGCTGTTGGCGTACCCAGCTTCAGCAGGGGGGGCTACGGTGTGGTAATTACACGTTCCTTTCGGTATAGTAAGTCTGTTTAATGATCTTTTATGTAGTCATGAAATAAAAGCAGTTGTAACTTAAATTTCCAATAAAAACTTTTTTGTTTTTTAGGGCATGGAGTTCTCTGGATGGACATTGAAGTACCCCAGCAATAGAAGATTTTATCTAAATGTGCTGTGGACCTCTTTTTGGACATTCGGAAATCCAGAACCGTTTCACCTTCAGACGAGACGCTGGACCCGGTGGGGATCGGACCCACCATCATAAATGAAATATTTGGGCCATTGAACCAGCCCGTTCGCTAGGACATCCCCTACCTCCACTGGGTACGCCCGTGGATCGAATATTAAAAAATGATGATAAAAACGTCAACTAATCACGTGCATAAATCGGTAAAGTATTCTCACCAGACAGATGGTTTATAATGAAGTGTTATGGTATTCTAGAAAATATTAATTCGATATAACTCGACATACATACATACGTTTGTATAGTTCTTATGTTAGGTTACGTCAATGAATTGTGATTACCTTTACATTTATTTGTATTTTTGTCCAGTATTGCTTTCGTTGATATAATGTTGCCATACCTGAAATTGGAGAAAGTTCTTTTAAGTAAATATACCATTAAAAGACAAATTAGAAAAACGTAATATTGTTTCTATTAATTCGATTATTGTTTTAATGTTATTATAATTATAATATGCAGAAGTTTTAAAACTTTGATAACAATAAATTTAGACGCTTTAAAATGCAATGCAATTTTTATTACTTCATAAAAACTACCGTCTCTATGTCAGTAGTACACATTTATTCAATTTATTGTAACTATGGCCCGACGTTTTGATTGCGTAGCGTAGCAGATTTAAATTTGACAATAGGGACACCGTCCATCATCATTTCCTCCAAAACCAGGGCCTCAACAAAGCATACGAAACTATTCGGTCGGATGTTGACGGTTTATAAGTTAAATAATATATTTCACGTTTTAAACCGTCTAATATTTTAGAGTAAAACGAAGACATTGGGAACTTACATTTGGCACATTTGAACGAGGTCCTTATCGGTAGTGTTCTGATTGAGCCCACGAATGTACAGGTTGGTCCGGCTAAGCTGCTCCCCTGACGCGCCCGTGGTGGACGTGGAGGAGGCTGGCGGTGGGGGGGCGGTGCTGAGGCTGGTCGAACGGGTCCCACCCGCCGAATTGGAGGAGGAACTAGAGGCGGTGTTCGCCGGCGACGCGGCGGTTGGAACGCGCGTTCCAGCCGCTCCACAACCGCCCGCCATCCCGATACCGGAGTACTGGAACATCAAGAACCCCGAAATTATACTTTGCACTATCCCAGACCATGAGCCACCCCGCTTTAGAGCTTAGTGTGCGAAAGAAATAGAGGCTTATTTTATTGTTCTTTTATTCACAACTACCTACTCAACAAGTACCCACATTGGCATTCATATAAACCTCTTGACTGATCGGCTCGTAATATAGTGGCGAAAATATAGTAGCAAAGATTACTCGCGCGCCTCTAGCGGCAAAATTGAGAAGCTGTCTAGAAACGACACTCCTTTAGATTTAAGTAGACTAGTGTATAGGTACATGTATGGTTTCGCTTTTAGATCCATATTTTTTGTACATTTCTGCATCTTGAAGCGACAACATTTATTTATAATAATATCTAAATTGTCAACTATCGCATTGTAACTGTAAGTTTTACATATGTGAATAAATAAATAACATAACCAGTATTTAATAAAAGCGGAATGTTGTAATAATAAATATTATTTATTGTTCTAGATTTATTAGATAATCTACTTCTTTCTAATGTATTGTAAGTTAAAATGTATTTTTTCTTCTTGTATTGTATGTATTCTTTCTTGTTTCCAACATGAAAGCCAAATGCTGGAGAAAAATCTATACATCAATTGTTGTGTCTATCAGCAAAAAATACATGTATCTTAGATATGTTTGGTAGGTATAATTTCCTGCGCCGTAAATTGTATCGAAAAATGTCGTTCTTAGATAGCTTCGAAATTTCGACACTTGAGGCGCTTCACGTCGCCAATTAAAAGGTATAAGTTATATTTTAAGAAATTGGGGTTAATATTGAAGGGCATGACAACGTGTTACGAATTTTTGTTTAATTTCGATACTTTGGTAAAAGGCCCATGACGCATCCCGCCAAGGTATGTGGCTTCATGGCTTGACGCTGCATGCTATCTATGCTTTGCTATGCTTCGGCATGCCAGTGGTCCCTGTTATATACAAATAACGATAGGAAATCTACTCTATTATATAATTCTTAAGACTGCGTTGAAAGTAATGATTCTTGGCAGCATTAGTTATTCAGCCATTATGAACCAGGAGGTCGTGGGGCTGTCAGCCGAGATAAAATATGTCACGAAATAGCGCAATTATCATACCATTCAAGTTTTTAAGCTGTTTAACGAACAGCTTTCATGTTCAAGTAGCTGGCAGCTATTGGAGTTGCGTAGATGTCTAATTGTACTTGTTTAAGGAGAAACGAGGTAATTTTGGAATGCCTGGCTCAGTGAGCCTGGTAATGTTGGTAAGTCTGGTAATCTTGATAATCTTGGCAATCTTTATAATCATACTCACCGGTTCGATAATGCTTGCGACATTGTTATTTTGCACCAGATATTTTTGTGCGAAATCAGCCTACTGGTGCATACTGAGTTTTATTATGCTGTCATAACATGTGTGTGGGTTACTGTACTTTATTTTCTCTATACATAAAATAATCTAAATATATAATTGAAAATGATCGTTATTCTCGCAAATCTTAAACAAATAAAAAAATCGCGTTCTTGGATATACAATAGAATACAGAAAGCGTTCTGGCGTGTTAAAATACATTTACGGCTTGAATATTTGCTTTATCTCTACCTACAATGCATCCATACGAATTTTAACAATTTGAATAAATCACTTTTAACGGTTTAAACAGGAACTATTTTTTTTAAACCGTTGAAGGTGTTTTATTTGAATAGGCGTTTTAATATAGTGTAATACAAGAACCGGCCTACTTTTTTTCAATTGAGACTTAATCAAAGACTTTATTGGGAGTATTGTCGACACTCGTCAGTAGAGAGTCAGCTGGGAAATCTTTGAGCAATTCTTTTGCCCACAGCGATCATATTTTCGTTCAAAATGAAAAGAAATATAGGCTGTAGTTCACGCGAGTAACATATTTCAATAAAACACTTGTAACTTTCGCGCGAAATATATTAGTTAGCTTATCTTTCATTTAATTTTACTACGCCACAACGAAACAGAGGGCGCTAGCGTCGCTGTCTTATTTATTAGAACTACGCAACGGATTTTTATGCGCTTTTTATATCGATAAAATGATTCAAGAGGAAGGTTGTTATATACTTACAACGTTTAGTTTTTCTGTAGTGTATTTAGTATTAGCATTGCATCCGAGCGAAGCCGGGGCGGGTAGTTTGAAATAATTTAACTAATATATTTCGCGTTTGCGCGTGAAAATAGTTTTATATTTATCTAAAATTTCCACAGTCATATTTATAGACGACTTGTGTTAAGTAATTCTTCATTTACAATAAATGACATTCTTTTCTGTCAAAAAGATGTTTTCTAATACCTAAGTCCGTATTTGATAAGGGTAAAAAGAAACAACGGACTTGATTGAATCCCTTTGATATGATTCCAACTCAGTATGTAGTTTTGTTAAAAAATCTTCGTTAGAGCTGTAATTGGGGAAGGCTATAGGATAAAAAAACATCGCTGTAACTATTAGGAGCAAAGGAACAACAATAAATGTGGAAAAAAACGAGAAAAATTATTCCTCTCTATGGGCTTCCGAAGCGTACGCATCGGATCAAAAAACATGTATGAAAGAATGATTTCTCTTTAAAGAAGAGATTTTAAAATTAACTTGCAAGAACGACAGGTCGCTGACGAAGCTAGTAAGTTGTAAATTTACCATTTTTACAAATAAATGATGAATTTGAAAAATAAGTCCCACCCTTGCCTATTCTTCTGTCATAAACCGCATCTGTCATTTAATTTCTAGAATAAAACTTAAAGTTCTAGAACTTTCTATCGGACAGGTCCGTCCCGTCCCAGACTCGCTTCGGAATCGAATTTAAAAACTTCACAAATGGAAACTTTCAAACTTGGGTCTCGTCAGTTATACTATTCAATTACTTCTTTAATAGAAGTCCCGCATGCGCAGAGATTGAGCTGGATAGTTAAATAATAATAATAATATAAAACCATTTATTTAAAAGCTCACAAAAACAATGAAATAAGATTAACTTAAGTTAGATTTTCAGTGGCCAAAGCATCCGAAACGTCTGCCCGTAGTCAAAATAATTTTCAAAGAAGTTTAAATAATATATATCGCGTTATAAGCCGTTAATTTTGTTTTAATTTGTATTACTCGCGTAAACTACAGACAGCATTTTCCAACCTATCGATGATGCATACCCTTCGCGCAATGTAATTCATACAGGGCCATCATATGCAGTAACATGTAAAAAAAATTATTAAAGTTCCCGCATAACAAAACTCGGGGGGGAATATTTAAATCGCCCCTAATGAGATCCCGCGGAACAGGTGACTTGGAACACCCCCTGACAAGTAATAATCACTTTGCGAACACCTCTCAAAACTTGTGACGTCTCATTCCGGGAAATATTACGGGAAAATTGGAAGAAGGATGTCTCGCGCCTTCGCCTGTCATTGGTGGCATTAAGAAAAATTCAACGACAGCATATTACAAGTTTGAATTGATTTATTTTGAAGTAACTTTTCGCTTTGCACGAATACGTGGAACTTATGAAATGTTTTTACGATAGTTATCCATTTTACATTTGTCTGATAGTTTACCATCTCCTTTGACAGCCCTTAAATGTGTTGCTTAGCACAGTGGTTGTTTAACTTGATTTGAGCCCTTTATTAATTTTATTTTTAAGTAGGTAGTTGATATTAGCTTATCGCAAATTCAGGGAAATATAATATACTAATATACCTAAATTCTTCAATTTAGGTTGTACTTTCGAGCTTGACTTGTAAAAACATCTATAATGAAGCGGACACAGAATAATGTCCGCACAAGGCCGATAGAGCGGGAAGTTTATTTTAGTTTAAGTTAATTTTCGCCCGAGAACAGCAATTTCGGTCGCACAAACTACAAAAAACTCGAAAAAAAAATGTACAACCAAAGCGGACACAGAAAAATGTCCGCCCAATCCCTAAGCGACTTCACTTGCCGCAAATAGCAACCCTTTTGAGAAGAGTCTTTTGACGGAACCCTTCGACGAAGTCAAAACCGAGTTTAGATTAGAACAAATGAAGTTCAGTGTTTTCGCAGGCCATTAAGCGAGAGCCCTACACAACCTGGCTGAGGGGCGACAGGGCACCGTTTGTACCCGGCCGAGGGCCCGACGAGGACCCTCGAGGCGTTTGAAGGGTTTTATCACCGCTCCCTAAGGGCGCACGCAAACTAAGACTAATTCGTGTGTTAAAACGAGCTTAAGAGTCCTTTTGAGTCGCTACGAGTGTGAAACGCCTTTATTTCTCTTGAACCGACGCGTCTACAAGACTGATGTGGAGCCGGACTATACTTATACAGTAGCCCATTTAACCACGCTTAATACGATTCGTCATCCCGTTTAATACGCCCGAACTGAGCCGAGAGAAATTAAGATCTTTAGAGTTTAGATAATTAGATTTTAGACTCGGGCACAGTAGCGTAGCTAGGTGGACAAGGGCCCCGGTCTACCTAATCCTAAGGGTCAAGAAAGAAACGGGTCCTCACCCCCTCTATTAGCATAGCTTAAATTTAACGTACCTCCAAAATTAAAAATAGCAACAAGAATCATTTTCTTTTACGACCTCATTTGGCTTTGATTGTTATTTAAAACGTTTTGTTAAAGTTTTTCTGTAAAAGCTACGAAACGCGCATAAACACTTTGCGACTGCAACAAAACACTTGTAACGGTTTAAAACGCGTAATATTTAACTGATATCTAATTTAATTTAATTACGGCGCACGTTTCGAATGCTTTGCAACAACCATGGTCCGAAGATGGAGGGTGTCTCTAACGCTAGGCTAAATTACGAATTATCGCGTTTTAAACCGTTAAAACTGTTATACTCGCGTAAATTACACATGGGATTACATAAATTGATTTTAGCCATTCATTGCTACCATTAGACCAAAGAGGTCACAAAACTAGTTATAACAGACAACTTGCGGTTACGACAAACCGCAAGTTGTCTGTGGGAATGTTGATTTTGCAATTGAAGCAACCGC